ATGGAAAGCAAGGTCAACCAATGTCTCCTGTACTTAACAATACTGGAGCACCGCCTAATCCCAAGCAACACCTTCTTCAAGCTGCTAAACAACAAACATCGACGATAGTGAACATGCCACAAAAACTGCCAATGAATATACATCCTACCAGTGTAAACGTTAGTACTCCGACACCATCAAGAATCCATCAACCGCAACCTACTGCTCTAAAGGGTATCAATGGACAGCCCCATCCGCTCAATCCGAAAACACACTTGTTACAGGCTGTGGTTCCACCAATTGGAACAGTAGCGAGTTCACCTACGCAACCGCATCTCGTCAATCCTCAAATCTCAACTGTTGTGAACAGTGTCCGACCACCAGGACCGAAAGCTCCTGTACGTAAGCTTTTTTAAGTCGAGAAAAAATACTTGAGAGATTTGAAAAAAATGTAGGCTAAAAGTTTTAAATCTCTCAACCTTGATTAATATTTGGAAACTCATTTCAGACCACTGGACCAATGGAACCGCAAAAGGTGGAAGTGCAAATGTCTGGTTGTATTATGGTGCCGACTGCGAGTCCGCAAAGTCGTAGTGTACCGATGCCGACGTACGAGCCTCCACTGGTAAGTATTGTATTTTAATTTTCTTTGTCAATTTTATTCACGCGTGTGTTTAAAAATCTTGCACTCGAGATGAAAATAATAAGGTTAATCCAGAATACGTTAAAGCGGCGTTAAACTAACTCTGTTTGGTTTCGGTTAGCATGGAAGTACGGGTGCTACTCCACCAGGGGGTCAGTATGGTCTTGTCCCCCCGCATCGTTCCCAGAGCCCTCCATTGCCTCCACCTGCCCATCATCATGCTAATACTTCACAGGTACTTACTTTCTAATATTCTTTTAATAAAACACTTGTGCGATTTACGTGAAAATTAAGAGCAAAGCTTCCTTTTATTGATTATTTTGATAGATTGCACGAAGTTTTAAGAAATTTTGTTGCGTATTTATTAAGTAAATTGGTGTGAAAACATTTTGATTTAAATAATTATGGAAACAATTCTATTACAGAGTGAAGTTGTCAACCATTACGGAGGATTAGTAGTTCGTGACCACTACTTGCATTCTCAAATGTTCCAGTATCAATACCTCCGCGCGCAACAGGAAGCATTAACGGCTCCTCGCCTAACCTATCACATTCCAGGAACAAGATCTCCACACGTACCTTTAGATCCGAAACTCGAGCCTGGTATAGAGGATAGTCACAGTCCTCCTTTAGAACTGAGACGAGGCACGAGAACGCCTCAGGATCGTACTACCGACAGTCCGCAAATTGCTCATTTATACGGGGGAATGAGACCGTTACCACCGCCTCCATCGCAATACACGGGAAGTAATCCATCGTTATCTGGCGCACCGGCTAGCGCTAGAGCGGGTTACGGATACGAACCACCACCCGCTCATTTGCGTTCTCAATATCCTGTGGCTGGCAGCGAAGCTCCACCTGAAATGGGTAGAGCTCCTACGCCGGATAGATGTAGGAAACATCAGGTCGCCACACCACCGCTTTACGCGTCTCAGGTGCCACCGCAAGCGGATTCATTTCAGATGCTACTCCAACGTCATCCTGTTATGTGGCAAGGTTTATTAGCTCTCAAGAACGATCAAGCAGCGGTACAGATGCACTTTGTCTTTGGCAATCCCAGAGTAGCCAGAGACAGTCTTCCATGTAACAGCGATGGCTCTACACCGCCGTTGAGAATAGCGCAGAGAATGAGATTGGAACAAACTCAAGTCGAAGGCGTAGCAAGAAAGATGCAGGTATGTGTCATAATCTCTTGGTACTAGAATTATCTAATGTTATAAATCCTAATTTATTTGTATTTAAAAATAATTTGTATTTTAACATTTTGTATAAATAGATTTTTTTTTAAATACTACAAGGTGACATCTGTGTGTGTGTGTGTGTGTGTGTGCGTGTGCGTGTGTGTGTGTGTGTTACATAAATAAAAATTTTAAAGATAAACTATTTTTTATATAATGTGTCATTTGATGTTCTTCAGACTGAAGATGAACATTGCATGCTGTTGGCACTACCTTGCGGCCGTGATGAAGTAGATGTACTGCAACAAAGCAAAAATCTTCAAGCAGGATTCATTATGTATCTTCAACAAAAACAAGCTGCTGGAATTGTAAACATTGCTGCACCTGGGTCACAACAGGTATGATAAAATTGTCACACATGTATATATATAGATATATATTTCGCGTGATAAAAATTTTATTATCACGACATTCAAGTTTAATAGTTTTACTATATCAGTTATTCTGTTTTCTAACGTTATCTTCTCTCGTTTTGTTTTTTAATTATCTGCTCGATTTTAATAACGGTGCGCGATTAAAATTTAATGTTATAAATTATTTTATTTTAGGCGGCGTATGTAGTTCACATATTTCCATCTTGTGATTTCGCACACGAAACTTTGGCAAGAATCGCACCGGACCTACATCACCGAGTCGCAAAAATTGCTCACTTACTAATTGTCATCGCCACGGTTTGAGGCCAATCAGCAACCTACTGGATTATAATCTGACTACATCTCTTGCCTTCGCGCACCGCAGGACGCTTCGCACGTGGTATGAAGCCTGGAGTGTCCGTCTAACACACATAGTTGTGCAACAAACAGAGAGATGCATTCAAGAGGAAGAGCTCCTTGTTAGGAGTTGTATCAGTGACAATCAAACGGAACCCGGCGGTAAGCCGATCTTTAGATCGTAGGCCTAAAAAACGAGGCACGAGGTTGTGCAGTGAAGCGAGGTTAGCACCTGGTTATCATCGTGCGTGCCTCTCTTCGATGAATTTCGCGCGGGCAAGCTCGTTTCTCTTGTCCTTTTTCTCTCCTTTTATCCTTCGAACAGCTTGTGACTCGTGTCAATCATTGACAAAGTTTGTGGGATCGACCGACGTCACTCTTGGTCTTTCTGACAAGCGAGTCAGGCACAACCCCAGCCCTCAAGACAAGACCTTCGATTCGTCACGCGACGCCCGCTTACTTACGCTCGTCCTTCCCGTAGAGGGAACAGTAATAATTCGTTGCTCTAGATGGACAAGTGGACTGCGAAGCATAATAACGAATAGGAAAAACCTTAACGTACACTCGTCACTATTACACATGAGTTATTTTAAGTGAGGTCTAGGCATTAATGATAAATTGTGTACATTATATAAGCAAGCCACCGAGGGCATAACTACTGTGATTTTAAGTATTTAACGATAATATAATTGCGTATAAAGGAGAAAGAGGAAGGTGACAAAAAGTAAAAACATATAAGGGGATGCCCGACTAATGGTCCGCGCGGTATGTGATGTGTTTTTGTATAATACTGCTCTATATAAATAATTATGTACTATATTACTGTAACTGATAGTTTGCTGCTGCCCGTTGCTGCTGCCGCCGTCGGTCGTGTCGTTAGAATGTAAATTACAATGTTAGACATCTAGCACAGAGAAACGAGTAAAGTTGGGCTACCCGAGTAGGATTTCCGATCTATTTGTAGATCTATCCATTTGCGTATGTATCATAATTACTCGAAGCAGGATGCGAATTTGTGAATTATTATTATTACTCTTAGCATATTCTCTTAGCACGCATCATACGTCTTATAAAAAGATTTTTAACGTTACTACTTATTCTTTATCATTATGATTATTATGATTACTATTATCACCAGTGTTTCCAGTGTTGCCAGTGTCGGTATAACACACGCATGTTCCAATACACACTCGTATATACATAAATACATATATACACGTACAGAAAGAAACGGAAAATTGGGAGGGAAAAGGGTACATAACGAATGAAATTAATTAAACGATGAATCGATTTTCTGATTTATGAGATCATATATTTTACGTTTAATTTATTTCAATAAATGACTCTGGTAATACTGATCATTACCCATTCTTATTACTGTTATTATCATTATTATTATATTATTATTATTATTATTATTATTATTATTATTACAAGTACTATATTATACCATTCTGCTATTACTATTATTACCACTATACTATTACCACTATTACTACTTACTACTACTACTACTATTCTATCACTACTATTACCGCTGCTATTAATTATTATTAACGTTATTACAGCAGGCTAGCTAGGGCATACCACTCTGCACATTTAAGGACGAATGGGGCTTATTTGTCATACTGAGAGAAATAGTATGACCGATCTCATTGACCACTGATGCCCCATACACACTTCCATCCTACAAGAGGTAGATATACCTGAGCAGAACGAACAACGAATGAGTAGCGAATGCGAGTGGAACGTTAACGTGTTCGATTCACGGTCGTTGTTCGTTCGTTTTATTGTTCGTTTGCACGTGCAGTGTACATCTATCTTTACACCCCATCCCTCGATTCCGTCGTATGACGACTCATAGACTCTTTAGCATTCGTGTCTAAGATAATAAATGCGCTTATGTGTATAGACCAGAGATTACACTATATCACACCAAGCCGTCAAAAAACATTTTAAGTAAATTAAGAAACTTATATCTATTTACGATATTATGCTGCTGCGCATAGGGCGCATGCCTCTAGAGAGTAATCTTCATGCAAAAGTATCAGGGATGGACGAAATACACATTCGTTCTAATTCTAAATTGTGAGGACACTTTACAAATTATGAGTACTTTTATTTAAAACATTTCATTTTTCTTTAGCGAAATTAATTTTAAAAAAAATTTAATCTTTTTTTTTAACTTTTTATTAGAAAATGGTGCGAAGTTATAAATACGATTCGATACTCTTTAATTTTAGATAATCAATTTATCAAATTATTCGATTACTCAAATTTTTTTTTTATTTGAGAACAGTTTTGAAACGATAATTTTCTTCGAATATTGAGATCTAGATAATACAAATCTGGATTTTAAGAATAATGATTAATTATTTCGAATAATTTGATGTTGCATTATCTAAATATTTATAGCTCCAATGCATACAATAGTACTGTTTGTGAAAATTATGGATATAACTGCAACGTTAGAGCAAAAAACACGATCGTTTTTTTTTTATTTACTTATCTCATCATTCTGCTGTTAATTTTAGAAAGATGATTAGACTGATTCGATGAATCCGTTAATTTTATGGCGATGAATAGCATCGTAATTATTGTTCCGTCCATCCCTGCGGTTTACAATTACTTTAAGGCAGCGCGGATACTCGCGGAGCGTGTGCATGTACAGTGTAAAAGTGCGTTGTGGATATGTACAGTGTAGAGGTATAATTGAGCGAGCAGGTGATAAAAAACAAGAAACACGTATATATTATAGCTATGAATAAGTACATAAGGCACGAACGTGCGCACGTGTCGCGTGACGTTTCGTTTATTTTCACGAAAGCGCTGTGTTTTCCTCTTCGCTCTTTTTTCAGCAGTCAGTTATGTAGTGTGCAGGTGCAGGATTAAAAGTTTTCCTGCATCGTTGTTACGCGATGCGTGCGCAGGTCGGCGAGCCTCATCTATCTTGTAAAATATCTGTGAATATTATGATTTAGTTTCTTCCTATTTGTAGGCTACAAGGTATACAAAAATGTTTACGTTAATCATTTAAGGAGAATGTACAGATATCACTATATCCTTTTTTGTTTTGTGTTTTACTGTAGTTATTGATAATTATATGGATATTAACGATAATAATAACTATGATTAAAAAGAAAAAAACTTAAGCACGGCTCGATTGCGTCATTCTTGAAAAACCCGCTAAAATATGCGCAATATATTTATTCTGTGTAAGAGAACTCTCGGTGATAATGTATCATTTGTATATTAGTAATTACGTGATCTCCTAATAATCGAAAAAAAAAAGAATGAAACTTGAATAGTATTGATATACGTTGCGACGTCATACCGTTCCATCTCCTAAATTCGTCACAATCTCCACGATTTATTTCCGCGCCGTCTACATGCGTTCTTCTGAAATGTTAATGCGTTAAAAAACGTATGTTAAGAACTTTCTTTTTATATTAGATCAGGAGCTGGACTTCTCGCTAGAAAGGTAATATAATAAAACACAAACTATTACCTCGAATATTGACGTATATTTCTTACGGTCTTACATTTGTCATACTTTTTGTTAATTTTGCTAATGAGTTGCGACAAAACAGCGATAGAAAGCTTCAGCTTGCTTTACATAATCCTATCGAACGAGACACGAATTAATGTAAACGGTAATCAGGCCTTCGGCGAGAATAACGAAATTACCTTACAAATCTTGTTTAAAGAGGCTGAAATTCTGATCAATTTACAAATTAAACAATTAAAAATATTTTGTTTTCGTTATGAAACTTGGGCACCTCGATTTGATCAAGAGCATCCACTTCCGAAACACTTGTCTAAGGATCGCTACTCCATTCAGGCCAATCTTGAATTTGCGTGTAAAGATAATTTCCAGGACTAGCTGTCTGACCCACCTGTCGTCCACCAAGCACGCGTACATTGTTTCGAAGGATACCTTGGGATATTCCACATTTGATTAATTGATGTGCAATATCTACCATTGTCTGATTAGCTTCCTTTCCTGAAAAAAATATCGTCAGATAGAGCACTTTGCAATAGCAAAATATACCGATATAAATCTCGCTGATGAAAAAGTAGTGATAGACACGTTTCATGCGTGTCTTTATTTATCGCGATTAACACTTACGCTCAAAATTCCCAATGAAAGCTATACCGACAGATTTTTTATTATATCCGTATGTATGTGCTCCTTCGTGTGTCCATCCGCATCCCTCGTATACATTTCCATCGCCGCCAATCAAGAAACTTTAAAAACAAAAACAATAATTATCAAATAATTCAAGTATCTTTTGCATATCTCTTTGTCATTAAATATCCAAATAGCATACATACAGTAAGTATAAAATAAATGGTATTTTATGAAGCAACAACAAAATGTGTTTACTTATATTTTAATATAATATACCTAATGAATTTATATTGCAACCAAATAGGCTACAAATATTTAAAATAAATTATAACATACATTTAAATATATATATTACGAATATTATTTTTTATATTAAGATAGTTTCGCCTAAATTGACAAGTTATTGGCATCCAAAAAAATATATGATAAAGACTATTTGTTTTCATTTATTTATTATAATTCGGATCTTAGTAACTCGAAAAATTTTCATAACTGATGTATAGCTTACGAATAGCCGATGTTATCCCAACCATTTGTGTCCATGTGATAACTGCGAATATTATCGACGACAGTTGTACAACTCCTTCGCGTATCACATTCGCCGCTGACTGTGTGATGTATTATCACGTAAGGTATCGGTACTATTAAATAATTCACTTCTCCAGGAAGGACACTGCTCCATTGACTCCTTTTAATAATATTCGGACACTTGACCGTTGCTAAAACATTCAATGAAAAATAATCTCAATTAATTATTTAATCATTTTAATTATAATATTAAAGGCACATGCTTTTTTGCTAAAGAAGGAAAAAAATAATTCGATTTTTTCAGATGTCAATAAAATTATTTTACTTTTCTATTCGTGAGAAAATAGAAAATAATTAATTTAGAAAAAGATTTAAAAATTCATTTCGCGTAAATATAATTTTATGAACAAAAGTTTTTATAAAGTGATAAACAACGGTAGATTACGAATTTAAAAAGATACTTACTAGCAAAACTAGCAGAGAGTGCCAGCAAAAGTACGAAGCAGATTCTCATCGACATCCTCCCAGTGCAAAAGATATGCAACTGTATGAGAACAACATTGAAAGATTAGAATATATAAATAAATCAACAAGAATCTCGGGTTGTGACCTATGGCGAAGTGATAATAAGAATCAACTGAATAATCATAATTATTCGGTTCTTCGTATTTTTTAATTCCAGTAAAGATATCAATAATCATATTAATACAATCCATGATATATATATATTTATATCATGATACAATCTTTATTATATAGATTAGTCTCTCCCTTCCTCTACCTTAGAAATTAAAAACTATAATTAATATTATAATTAAAAGCGATTTCTTGAGTGAGGAATAAAATATTCTTTTTTAGAATCGATATACTTATCGATATCGAAGCGATGTCATGCTTTCAAGAATTATTGATTTTTGCCCGGTTCGCAGTTCGCATGCGTTTACATGCGCTTTTGTCATTGCGGTTCTGCCTTTTGCGTTTCTGTGTGTTTCTTGAAAAGGAAAGAGAACGCAATGGAGACCGTTCGATCATGTGGTTGCAAAGGGATACGTTCTTGCTTGATTTGCGAGACTGAATACGAATTTTCAAAACCGGATCTAAAGAACGAGTTACAGGTAGAATAAATGGAGTATCCTAACCTATCAATGATACGCGTCGATACGCGTAACATCGGAATTTCCCGCGATTAATTGTAAAATTTATTTTTCCGAAAATTGAAGACAGCAACGCAATCACGATAAAATACATGAATTTCGGGGACTCCCCCTGATAATTTTATCAATACATATATTTTTCAATTGATGTGACTTATGTTTATATGATATTGATATATTAATTAGAAATAATCTAATTAGCGCTCAAAATATGATGCTATTTCTATTTTGTGATCGCTTGCTTTGTCAAATCTTTATTACAATCTTCATTACAAAAGATATTTAATTAAAGCTTTGTGTGTATTTTAATTTAAAATTAAAAAATATACAACTCTCAAAAAACAAAGTAATTCTTAATATAGTAAACAGAAAATTTAAAAAGTTTTATGATTTAAAATTACCCGACAAGAATATCCTTGAAAAATTTGAATATTCAATCTATAAAACTAATATTTTCTTACTTATTACCTCTCACGTAAAAATTATCTTTTCTAAAAAGAAATTTATATATCTGAAAATTTCATCAATTGTGCTGCCTTTCTAGTATCTCCTGTTGTATTAGTCTTGAATTTGCTCCTAGCTGGCTAAAATACTAGTAAAATCAGTTTACAGTTACTTTCATGAAAAGATGAGACATACACATTTTAGTCCTTGTTTTATTGTGTGTTAGCCTTCTACATCTCAAAGAACATAAATTCTTATAACGTAGGTCGAAATAAAGAAAAAAATGTTTTATAGAAATTCGTAAACTATATACAAATTTTATGAAACATTTACTACCTTATTTTTTAATTTAAGATTTATCTATATGCAATCTCTCTTACAGAAAAACAAAAGTTATGTTTATTGTCCACACTGTAATAAATTATCACCTGGATGGGATATAGACGAATACAAAAAACATCCTAATCATGATGGAAACTTGATTGATTATCCTGGTGTTTATATCAAGGTATAATTATAATGTGATTACTGGTATTTATAATATATTTTATAATTAATTAATAATATATATATATATATTAGTATATGTATGTCCCAGCTAGATTTCTTAAAGGAAGATGAAGCCAAAGAGCTCATGAAAGCTCTTGATGATCTTCCTTGGCAACCTTCACAAAGTGGTAGAAGAAAACAGGTATAATATCTTTGAAGCATTTAAACACACACGAATATATATATATCTTTACATATTTTAAATTACAACAATTTTATAGAATTTTGGACCAAAGTGTAACTTCAAAAAACGAAAATTGCAATTAGGATCATTTAATGGTTTTCCCAAAACAACGCAAATTGTACAAAGGAAATTTGAAGAAATACCATTGTTATATGGTTTTAAAACTGTCGAACAGTGTACGCTTGAATATAATCCTGAACGTGGTGCCTCTATAGATCCCCATGTAGATGATTGCTGGATTTGGGGAGAACGTATAATAACTGTAAACGTTCTCGGTGATTCTGTTTTAACTATGACTCCTTATCGTGATTCGCTAACGCGATACAATTTAGACTTCGTTTCAAGTTATGATTCCATCCTAGAGAAAGACATATGTGGTGATACACAATCTTTGGATATTGATAACATGGTAGTACGTTTGCCAATGCCCGCTAGATCACTCATGGTTTTATATGGCCCAGCAAGGTACAATATCCAACTAGACAAAAGTATATTGTTATTATTATATACATGGCTTTTATTTGATAGATACAAATGGGAGCATGCTGTCCTTCGACAGGACGTCACATCGAGACGCGTCTGCCTCGCATACCGTGAACTAACACCTCCGTATCTCAAAAATGGACAATATCAAGATGAAGCTTCTGAAATTTTGAAGCAAGCTTCACTCTTCTGGTAATATTAATAAGTAAATTTAAATTATTGCATTTATTTATAAAAAAAAATTGATAATCTTAGTATAATACTATTTTATATAATTACGTACAATATTTAACATAATAAATGTAAATACTATTTTAATAAAGTTATTTTATTCTTAGCATACAGTGCATTAAGAATGTACAACATTAACATCTTTTACAATCATTTGTATAATATTTTAAGATAATGCTTTTTTCTCGTGAAGTCTTAATGAGATATTATATTTTTGAGATATTATATGTATTTGAATTTAAATGTCAAAATATTTAATCATTAAAATGCAAATTATATTTAAAGCAAACAATCAGACTGTTCGTGTAATATGTATTATTGTATATGTATACTTACTAGAAAATATATTAAACTATATATTATAAATCAGGCAATTATTTGGTAGTAAGTACTGTTTTTCTTTTGTGCTATCTGACGATCACTCGCTGAGCTCCATCATAAAAATAAACGTAAAAACCAAGAATAAATATTCTAATAAGCTTTTGTGTTTTGTTAAAAAAAAAGAGGATCTCTCTCTATTTCTCTCTTCATTACTCAATTTTTGCAAATTTCTTTGTGAACCCGAGAAACTTAAAAAAATTATGGTTTTATACAATCAAATACTCGATTTTTACATCAAAATATTAACATTTCTGATCGCCTTTCAGTGGATAATCTGGCGCCATATACACTATGGGAAACGTAGTTACGGGATCGGATTTTCCCAATGGTTCGTAACCGTTCACTAAATTTTCTCGTAATTCCCAACGACGTCTTTCCCTTTCTGTCTTTTGACGCCTGATAGCTCGGCCAAGCATACACGCGAACATGATTCCCGTTAGCTGGAAAGAGAGAAACAATTAGCTTTATCATTTATTTAGGTAAATTATTTTTCAGAATTGTAATTTATTCTGCAAGTACAATACTTCTTGATAGTATCAGCGATTCTGAAATGTTGACATGCGAGAAATGGGATTAGTATTATGTTGGAAAAACAAGCTTAATCTACTAACCTGAATAAGGGCGATTGCTATAGCTCCTGTGCCGATGTATAGTGCACTACGGTGAACAATAATAGAAAGGCGGCTAATACAACCTTCCTGATATTTCCCATAACAGCGATCTGAAAGCTCATCCACTAGATATGAGCAGCAAGAGTCAGGTACATCTGTACGCGTATTATTGAACGTATTGACGTAGTTCCAATCCAAGTAGCTATTATACCCGCAACAACGTAACTGTAAAATAAGAAAAAATAAGATTAATTATTTTTCAAAATGCTTTTCTTTGTAAACAATACATTATATCTCAAAAATGTTATGTTATTTCCTACTCAATGTTATATTATTTCTAGGATGTGATCAATTAAGATAATTGGCATTGATTACATCCTAAAAGTAACATAATATTGAGTGGGAAATATTTTAATAAATTTTTTATACAACATTTTATCTACAGAGCGATCATCTTACTCTAGATTGCATAAAATCAATTGCAAACTTGGCTTCTTCATTCTTTTCGTATTGATTCATCGTCATCTTGATATTCTCAGCCAGGAGATCCTTGATACCGTTTTGCAAGGCATATGCAGCAACAGCGGCGGCAAGTTCCATTATCAAAACAACAGACAGTAAGACTGCAAACTAGAAGTATATAAATATAATACGTGTATCGGAAAGAGGATATTAGAAACAAAAATACAATATTTGTCGCTTACCACAAGGACCATACAGGTGCTTTCCCTGAGTGCGCCGCAACATCCCATAAAAGCAATTATGAAGACCAGTATTCCAACTACGATTAAGACGGTGGCTGGTGAAAAATAGCTTGTATCCAGAAAATGTGAAAAGTTCTCGTAAACAGCGTAGATTGTCGTGCCGACCGATATTATCATCACCCCCGTCAACTGCAACAAAATGATACTTTTGTTAACCACAATTAACTATTGTTTTCCTTATATCATTAATTTTTACAAAAAAATCTTTGTTTCTCTGATATATTAAACAATTATTAATAAATTGCAGAATGCCGAAGACATATACATATAGACTTCATTTAAAGTCGATCAAACGTCGATTTAAAGTCAATTTAAGTATTTTCTTGCAAAAATACAATGTAATTGGATACTTTTTACATTTTAATTAAACAAAAAATACTACCATCTAGAAATATCTATAAAGCTTTATAGTTTATGTTATTGCTTTCAATTTCTTAAAAGAGATTTTAATATATTCATGTTTATAAAAATCTTTTCCTCATTTCTATATTCTTATTGCAATGTTCCGTGATTTGTAGCAGCCTGTATATGTATTATTATTTCTGCTTATAGCGACAATTTAAATATGCAGTATGCATATGATCTGTGAACATGTAATATATATACCGAATATAACATACATTCACTGTACATAAAGTATAAGATTTCGATCATTTCCATAATACGCGGTTTCTCTGACATTAGTTACATAATACATGCGTCCTCGCTCAAATGTAAACTTTTTAGATTGGAAAGAGGGTAACACTTTTGTGAAGCATATCACTATGTACACACACGTTGCCATCGGTCTCTATTTGTTCTACAAAGCGGGCCGTGTAATTTCCTACGATAAGCCGCTCTCTTGTTACACGCCTGTGTAAGTCTATTTTAATTCTCATTGAAGACCCGAAATAAAATATAAAATCGTTCCAAATATATTTCGACAGGTTTTCGAGAAATATATAATATTTTACGTACTAAAGTAAGAGAGGCTTTTAAAACTTAATTCGATTAAAATAAATATTTCGGATAAGATATCGATGACCTGTTAATACCATAGAATTTATTTTTGCTCCTGTCGGTTACAATACAACGAAATCAAAGATCAAACAAGATGTTGTTTGCGATCGATTGGTCTGTGGGGACTTCTAAGATTTTTAGTTCCATATACTCGTGTGCTAAAATATTCTACTTTATAAAAATCATATTATACGTCCTGACATTGTCGATTATGAAGATAAATTTATCTGTACCGATAAGAGTGACCACAAAATCCTGTAGATAGTACAATGTGGTACAATGAAAAATAAAATATGTTTGCCTGGTTTTGTGCGTTTTATCTGTTTGAGAACAACGGGTTTTACATCATCGATTCGAGATTTCGGATATCAAGGTCGAGGCAAGGTCATGTTGGAAAATTACTATCTTTTCCAAGCATATTTTCTTCACATACAGCAAGAGACTAGAAATTTGCATAAATCTGATAAATTATAAGTGTTTCTACAACACATGCCAGGCAAAATACATTTCTGCCGACTATCAAAGTGATCATTTGACTGATTTATCTGCGATAATCTTCAGCCGCTATATCTGTATATTTTGCGATAACTAATGTCGTGAACAAAACGCTGCTCTTATTACTACTTCTTTGTTTAATTGAGAGTTATACATATACAATGCTAATCGGGTTGTGCAGCTGTACAGGTTCGTCCATCCCTAATAATTCAGCAGTGCATAGCCTTGTCTATGTAATATCGACCGCAGTTCGAAAGTGCTTCTCTCTAACAATGAAAGTCGAACTTCATGGCCCACATCGTCTTCTCCGACAGAACAAAGGACATAATAAACATCGATAGGGGATATTTTATTTCAACACGGCATTGTGTTTTATATTATTTTTTTTTTTCGCTTCCACGCATAGCATAAATAATCTGATACGTTATCTCCAGTACACTGAAAATCGATGTGATCGATACTGCTGTACGACGTGACTCAGGTTATTATAATTTCCAAACGTTATATTGAAGTGCAATCTTAATAATATTGATTTTTAAATTTTGCCGAGAACGCAAGGACACTTATTGCCACGTATATGCGAAAAATGAATGTTGAGTCATTCTTTTCTTCGACATTAATCGTTATTTATATATTATATCAGAATGTCGGTTAGCAGCTGTATCGATGATAAATATCTCGGAAGAAAATTGATAACCAATGTGATAATACATATGCTACAGATAAACGATTCGGGTATAAATTTATGTTATATATTATATACATACACATGCTACAATATATACTATTCGTTATTACGTGAAGATAAAAAATTTCAAGGCTGAGTACTTATTATATAGGTATCCTTTATGGACAAATTTCGTCTTAATTTGGCAAGTGTGTGTACGACTCGACACTCTTTCATACATTATATTTGTTAATTGCAAACATTTTTCACCACAGACCGAAGCCTCCTTTTTATATCCTTTAGACATCTATACCGTTGGTATATAATAGCGATCGATAATTGTGGCTGACTGTACGACACGGTCTAGACACTGGGCCTACGACGACGCGCAATTGCACCTAATCGGACTTGCGTTGCAACAGCATTTTCCAATGAGCTTTGATAACGTGCGGATTCGTGCAGTCATTGGCGATGACTTTGTGTGTACTTGAAGAATCATAATGCACGGACGTTATCTTGTATACTCCAAGAATATACATATCTTTCGGTGACGGACTAACGCGACAACGCCTTGCCTCGTGACTCGAGATCGTCCTTTCGCGTCTTCCGAGATTCCCCACGATTCTCCTCGAGTTACGAAAAATCAACGGTACTTTGTTTTTTTTTTTTTTTTTCTTTTCGTTTCGATCGAACGCGTAGAATCAAACCGGAGAGCGCAGGTAGGAGAGCGTCGTCGAACGCAAGGCTCTCTTGTCGCGCGATCGTCCTCCGATCGCGACGCGAGGAATGCATCGCGGAGCGAGAGAGATTTGGCGAAGAGCGTATTTCCGCGGGACGATAAGTAAACGTCGTTCGCATTTAACAGTACAGACCACGAAAAGAGAGTTGACCGCGCACAGCAGGTACTTGATGCAGCGGAGGCCGATGTCTAGATGCGTGGCCGCCATTTTGCCTCGCGTTGGCTCCTCCGGGCGCAGATGCACAACGAGCGGTTTCGCGCACCTTCGACACTCCCAGTTAATACACCGATTGTGCCAATGCCAACGTTGAAGCGTCGGTCCGCAGCGTTATCTGCTGGCCGATAACGAGTCGCGAAAACGCACGATCGCGCACGGCAACGACTTTGTGCGATACCAATACGAGCGCGTTGGGTTTTTGTTTAGAACACGAAGTCTGACGAAGAGAAGAAAGAGAGACAGGCAGAGAGAGAGAGAGAGAGAGAAAGAGAGAGAGTGGGAGGAAATAAGGAAGTTGCGATAGCGCGAAGAAAAACATGACGAAGCGATAAGCCTGTAGCATTGTGTGACGCACCAATGAATATTCTAATATTTTCGATATATAGATTGTCATATTCATAAGCCAGCAAACGCAAAAGTTATAATGTAACGTTCCTGTTAGTTGTGATTTCCCACTCAACAATATAACTGTAATATAACATGAGTTACTTTGCATTTGCTGGGAATGTTATAGGTATACATAATATTTTCAACAGAATCTGTATACGGAAATTTTAATTACAGATTTGGAGCCAAGTTTACGCTTATCCACTTTAAAAGAAAGGTATATATAGTATACAGGGTGTCCCATTTTAATCTATCGGTCGAAATATCTCCTAAAATACGCCAGCTATAAAAAAATGTTTCAAATAAAAATGGAATGGTGTCGAGGGGGACACATTTTAGTCATATTGTTTTTTTTCTAAGTGGAGGCGCTAAAAAGATATGAAGGTCACCTCCACTTTTTTAAATGGAATTATGTAATTTTTTTTAGATAACGTGATTCCTCTAACTATTTTGCATAAAAGTATTAAGGTAGAGATACCAAAAAACCAATAATTTTCGAGATATTTTACACTTTATTTTGGTACATTTTGACACACAATGTTAAATAACTCGTAAACTGTTGACTTTTTGATTATCGTACCTTAATACTTTTGTGAACAGAATAATGAGATAAATCAAATGGTGTAAAGAAAACACATAGTTGCTTTAAAAATAATATGTATGCAAAATGGATAATTTTTTAAATACGCAACTATGTGTTTTCTTTACACCATTTGATTTATCTCATTATTCTGTTCACAAAAGTATTAAGGTACGATAATCAAAAAGTCAACAGTTTACGAGTTATTTAACATTGTGTGTCAAAATGTACCAAAATAAAGTGTAAAATATCTCGAAAATTATTGGTTTTTTGGTATCTCTACCTTAATACTTTTATGCAAAATAGTTAGAGGAATCACGTTATCTAAAAAAAATTACATAATTCCATTTAAAAAAGTGGAGGTGACCTTCATATCTTTTTAGCGCCTCCACTTAGAAAAAAAACAATATGACTAAAATGTGTCCCCCTCGACACCATTCCATTTTTATTTGAAACATTTTTTTATAGCTGGCGTATTTTAGGAGATATTTCGACCGATAGATTAAAATGGGACACCCTGTATACGTATTTCTTAGTATATACATATATTTATTTATTATATTTATATATATTAAATATAACGTCGAATATATCGAGCTGAAATTTTAAAGTTAATAGGCATATGGAACAAGACATTCGTTCTCGTTGCTACGTTTACACGTGGGCAAAACAACGCGACAAAAGTGACTCATGTGAACGATTAAGTTAATTTCATGTCTCTCTCGGTATGCATGTATGTGTGTGCGTGGCACGTATACAGTGCGACGCGTGCGACGTGCCTGCATGATTGTCGGACAAGCGCATACTCCGATTTTTTGTTTGAAATTCATATGCCGCAAAAGGCTTCTATGAGAAACAATTTTATCGCGCAGACAGAAGATCATTTTCTTGTAAAATATGCGATTGCTTATTCTATCATCTCTGCGTAAATAAGAGAGAATGCGAATTGAATTAACGAGGTATTTTTTAATCAAAAATAACAAACACACATTGTCGCAATAAAAACACTTGGTGATGTAAAGGCTTTATTAAAAACACCCACGCTTCTTTATAACGCTTCTTTGAAACATCCTGTGTAGCAAAAATAATTTATCAACCAAGGACAAATAACGTGTTTGATATATCAGATCAATTATCAAATGCACACACAGTCCCGCATCTTAATGGCAATCTCGCTCGTGGCTGTCATCCATACGCTGCTTCCGGTGCTTCATTTGATATTCGTATGGCACTCTACATAGTCTGGTAACAATTCTTGATCGATTTAGCCAAGTAGGACGACAAGAGGATTCCTATCAGCTGCAACATTAATTATTCCATTCGTGTGTATCAATAAAATAATAAAAGTGAATATTTCTCGTTTATCGGGCTTCGAAACGCTATGAGGAAACGCTTTGAAAGATCTAACATAATAATGATGAAGATACCTGAATTACACCGAGACTTATTCCAACACCTGCTATCTTCGCCGCGTGTCTCTCTGCGAATGTCGCGAAGGCGTTTATACAGCCAACCTTATGCAGACTCTCCGATGATAGGGTGCAGTTCGACGTGCCGACAGCACCTATCATATTATCACAGCACGACATCGGAATACCTGACAGATTCGTGGCAATCGTCAACCAGTCGGTGGCATTGATCGTACCACAGCAATGGAACTGCGAAAAAGGAAAACAAATTTCACGGTTAACGTACTGAAACGTGTATCTACATCACGCAAATAGATGCAGAGTCGTAATGGGAGAAGAAAAAGTTTACTAAATCTTAAAACATATTTCTATAAATAGTAAGCAAGTATTTTACTAACAGTAAATAAATATAGTTACTCAATAAAAAATGATAATGGAATTAAATTATCTAAACAAATATTTATTGAAATTTAATATTTTTCTAGTCTATATATATTATATATTATTATATAATAATATAATAGATGTGTATATGATTCATGTATATGATATATAATATATGCGCATACATTTTTTGTAGATCGTTAAGGGTGGTCAAGGAAGCTGGGGAACAATCGATTTACGCTACCCCTTCGTGGCGTGCACGCCAGCTACCACATACACATATATTATACACGCGAGGAGCCGGGCACTGAAATTATCCCTGTCGCCTGTCGTCCGCGATATCCTCGCGACGACCGGGTAGCTCCCACGACTGGGGAAGACACGATGCGAAACGCGAGAAACTTCTAACAAAGCCGAATTGTCGAAAAAGGGAAAATTGACAAAATCATTCGCTGTATTTCGAGAATATAACGCAGTCGCGCGTATAAATACGATAATTATTGTATATATTTGTGCGTTACGTCTTTCTGTAGATTATCCCAGACGGCTTGAATCTCATGGCTATTGTTGTATTGGGGCATCGTGTCGAGCATTTTTTGCTGAGCGATCATCGCAACCTGCGTCCTCATCACATATCCCATTATGCCGCCTATGATCTCCAGCAAAAAAATCGCAGCCAAAAGTACGCAGAACTGTAAATGATCAAAGAGGCTATTGTTAAAAAAAATTCAAATTATATATTTCGACGATTTATATTATCTTCCGTACACTAAGGAAAACATCTTGTTAGATTAACCGGAATTTTGGTTAAAAGTAGATAAATCAGAATTTTTGTTAAATCTGATTAATATATATGTATAAATAATCAGAATCTTCTATTCATCTATTTTCAACCAGACATTTTTCTCCGTGTATATCATATAATTGTTACGAATATTTCGGTAGAAATTTATTTTTCGTATTTGATGTTGTGATTAAAAAATATATATTCCCTGATTATATTTTTAAATATAATCTAGGAAATAGAATAGAATTTAATCTCGAAGCCTTTTGAAACATTTATTAAATTACATTATAGTCTCACCGTGCGTCAATTTTTTAAAGCAACGCCGGAAGCGTGTCCGCCCTCGTCTGCGTGCGAGGGAGAGTAATTTTCCCGGAATAAGGGCCGGCAGAGGTGGAACGGGGAGGACACACACATGTCAATTACATACTTCGTGCACAAAACATATGATCCATTACGTTATGGAAACGAGGGGGAGACGAGATCGTAGATGGACGGACTTGGCCGAGCTTTTTGTTTCGTATACGTTTCGTATGCAATAGGTCGGTCGAAAACCCGACGCTCTATATCGAGATCCTAATCTCGAATTAATTCGAATAGAGCAACGTTGAAAATAACATCGTGAATGTTCTCGAGTCACGATAATGGTCCGCTTTATTACTCGCAATACGTCGCGATTGATTCTCGTCAGTGGCGCGCTCTCAATCAGAAGCGCAATCACCTGGCGAGCTTTGCCAGGTACGATCGATCGAATGAGATCGTAAATCATTTATGATTGTGAAATAGATGGTTCCTCACGATTGTAAAAGGCTGCATAGGAAAGAAAAAGCGCAATGCGTCTGCGATAGATTCCCGCAGACAGCTAAGTCCGTCAAGAATAGATATTCTTCAAAATGTATAATGAATAAAAAGACTACTCGGAAAGAACAATTTTGTTAAAATATCTAAAAGTTTAAATTATAATATAATTTTGAAAATAATTTTTTGAACCATCAAAATAATGCTGCGAGCAGAGTGTTGACATTCTAGTAACTAGCTTGAGCGTTCTACACAATTATTTTGATAGTCCAATAAAATTATTTTTAGATCTCTATCTGTAACTTTTTAGATTTAGATTCAGCAAAAACATTCTTTCTAAATAAAGATTTGATACACGGTCCGATATATGCAATATTATTGGCACAGAACGCTAAGACGAATATTGTTATAAAATATGGAAGATTAATAGCAGAAATGCAGTAGCCTTGTTCATACACTTGTTGTACAATTTGACGCAGATTAGTGACAGATTAGAAACAGCAGAATCTGCGTTTGACAGATTCTATTTGGTTTCTGTCAATCAACTGTCAAATTATATCTATAGGCTTTATTGGTAAAACTCAAGCTTAATGCAAACACAGTTAATGCCAATTTGCTAACCATTTCTGATCGAATTTACTTCCAGTTTGCCAGCTTAGACAGTTTAGTTATTGGATAGCTTATTATCATTATTACTATCGATATAGCGGGCTAATTATTATTTGCTAATTAGACGTCAAAATACATACTGCGACTCTGTCGCAGTAATAAACGGTCTAATTGCATATGACGCAACGATGAGGCATTTTTATTAATAAAGATTTTGCGAGGTACATGTGTGATTTTTAAATCATAAAACAACAAATTAATTAGTTAATGAGAGTGCAATTTAATGTGTGGACGAAAAGTGAATCATTTATTTATTTATGAAGAAAAAACTTAATTGAAGTGTATATTTCGCCTTACCGTTGTAACCATGCAATAACTTTCGCGAACGGCTCCGCAGCATCCGAAGAAAGCGATGATAAATATGATGGAGCCCACGGCTACGAGAAGAGAAGGTACGGAAAAGAAGCTGTTATCAAGGAAGTGTTGATACTGATGGTACACTCCATGGATGACCGCGCCGATGGATAATAACACTATTCCTGTAATCTAAACATAATTCATCATGTTTCGTGATATATTTCCATGGACAAAAAAGGATCGAGAATGCAATGAAGTCGATTCCATTAATAAACCGACGATTATATAACGCGATTTTGTGACGGTAAGCAATATTGCATAGTCAGGTAAAACGGCATAATTATCAAATTAATGTGGTAAAAAATTAGAATATTAATATATTTAAAAAAGATACACAAGTGTTCATTTCTTCGATTACATCAATATTTTTGAGTTTCACGTTTGCGAATAGTATATCGTACAAATAGCAGGAGGCTGCCAACAGCTGCGGTGTCCGAGCGGTTAAGGAGATGGACTTGAAATCCATTGGGTTCTACCCGCACAGGTTCGAATCCTGTCCGCAGCGATTTTTTTTTTTATTATTTTAAATAGTATGTAACTATTGATATCTAGATACTCATACACTTCAATGAAAAAACGTAAAAGTGACCCGTTTTAATTAATTATATTAACAATACTAACAATTTCATAATTCTATATTAGTAATATCTACAATACTTTTGTAATATCATATAATCAATAAACCAATAGTTACATCAAAACTATAATCATAAAGAAATATTAATCCAAATAAAACTTCGTAAAAAAATTAAAACGCGTGCGGCGTGAAAACACATATTAATAATGGGCCTATTTATAAAACCGATAACGCAGCATGCATTTCGATTATTCTGAGTAAGAACATTGAACCGTCTATCTTAGTCGAACTACGGTTTCTACGCATATGTATAAATGATAAATTTTCAGACACGAATGTTACTTCTAACAATAAAATTATTTTAATTGTGCTATTACTTGATATTAAATTTTTTTTATTCTTGCCTCATCTCACAGCATATAAAATTAATACTCGTTATAATGTAATCGTTTTCATTCGTATCGATCGCGGTAAAAGTATCCTTTCAATTTTGACGTCATGCTGTGTGCGAAAAAATAGAAAGGGTAGATGTTGCACGATAGGGATTCCTCCTCGGATATATTTCTTAAGCTGGTAAATTTTTTTGTAAGATTTCTCTCACAATGATTCATCTACTTATGGTCTTCTCCGATGTATATGCTAGTCCAGTCGATGAATAATTAGCCAATGAATGTCTAATTAATTTAATTTTACATCAGGCTTTTAACATGCGCGCTTAAATGGAATCTATATTTAGACACAAAAAATATACGGATGTTCTTAATTTTCATCAAAAACCTGCGATTAAAGATTTCATTTTATAATAATTTTATAATAATAAGATTTAATTTTATAATAGTAGCGAGCCCCTATACGCAACAAAAAAACTAAATTTTAATAAATTAATAATTAATAAATTATTTTAATAAATTATTTATATGAATACTCGTATTAACCGAATATGTATAAAATATAAAGATTTATTCATTTAGTATAAAAAACATTAATTTAATTTAACAATAATGTCTTTTTATTAAGTAATTAAAGTATTTATTTATAGTAAGTGAATAATTAGTTGAAATTATTTAAATAAATATTTATTTAAATTTAGAATAATTTTTCTTCTGTGTTTATAGCTATATAATTATTAGACAATAAAAATTATATAGGCTGTAATATATATCTAATTGTCATGGACATATACAGGGTGTCCGAGACCACCCGTCCATCCCTTTTATCTCGAAAGCAGAGCATTTTAGAAAGAAACGTTTCAGACAAAAGTTATGGGGTTCTAAATGATCTATTCAGTGATCAGATCAGTATGACCTTGGGTGGCGTCACCAAGGTCAGAGCAATGTCACTTTGAATTTTTTAAATGGAACCCCCTATTTTTTATCGCATATTCTTGTAGCACACCTCGAGTGCTTTCCAAAACACTATAATAAAATGTTTTTTCATAAAGTACTTTTCGAGTTATAAGGCTTGAAAGTTACAGTATTGACGGCATTAGCATTTCCCAAAAAGTACCAGGTGTAGAGGTTACTTAATCGGATTTAATCTCGTGTATACGTGAGTGCATACTTGCGTCAGAATTACATAGTATACAATGTTCTTATTTCTATTTGTTAACTGAACTGATTATGTTTGATGCTCAATCAGGTCCAGATAAACTGCATGCATTTTCCCGTGATGTTGGAAATGATATAATTGTCATCGATATAAAACATATCATTAATTAATATATAATATATTAACGATTATTAATTATGTTAACTAATAAAAGGAAAAATTTATGACGATTAGGCTGTTATTGCATTGTTCCGATACTGATTGAAAATTTATAGTATACGTAAAGTAAACTATAGATTGTCGGTGTATATCGGAACACAGCTATTTTAACATTGTAAATTGATACACTTCTAAATTTATTAGTTATAATACATCCAATTTCTACGAAAACCGATTACTCGATGCATTCTCTAAACGCGTTCTATAACTACGTATTGCAGCGATTTTCAGTAATGTGATATATAGTATGTATATATATATTGTAAACACATATTGCTTTTCCACTCAGATTACAAACAACGGTTTGTTGTGAATTTCTGTCGACAATATTTATCTACCAAATATCAAGCTCTGAAATATCCGTTCAAGATAAGATCACCAATTGCACGCAAAATGTTAAAAGTTTAATTTAATTTTTATTTTAAAATTTAACAACGATAAAATGTACATATACTTCATAAAAACGCATGTATCGTACTCCATATAATTGTTAATGACATTCGAAAACATTAATAAATTCTACGTTTCATTTTCACGTTTCTGCTATTTCAATAAATGTTTGCGCAAAATGCGATTTGAAAACGCGTTGAGCATATCATTTAAAACTGGATTCTACTGAACCACGTGAACAATGTGCGCACTTCAATGTAATCATATTGATGTCCACGAGATGCATATAGAAACGAACATTAAATAATTAATTAAAATAGTTGATCAAATAATTAAGTTAACTGAATTAATTAGAACATTATTTATTGTAAACACACGTTTATTGAAAGTGACAAATTTTAGCTAGAATAAAATAGAGTTAAAATTTAACTAAACTAATTTTCGGCTGAAATTTGTTTACACAGCTTCGAAAAAGAATAGATTAGAAGCTTTTAGTTTCCACTGCAACGACTATTTCAGTCAACTTCAATTAACACGCTTGATAAAAATAACAACAATTTCGATGAAATACATATAGTATTCACTTTACAGCTTTCCAATGCATTTTTGTATAAATCATTCTTTTATCAATCTCCGGTTGAGCTCCGGACAAACAGCTTGTCAATCGTAATCACAGCTTCCAATGATCGCGCTGAGATGTGTCGATACGACGATTCGATAGCTCGCAATTAATCGCGCGGGTCCATGCCAGCATTGCCAGCTCATCGTTCCAGAAGGAACGCGAGACATCGGCGACAGGTGATCGTCGACTGCCTACTTACCACAAAGAACAGGTTGAAAATGAACATCAAGTACTTGATGGTCTTCGGCGCCAGACTTAACTTCGTCATCGCCATTGCCGCAAAACTGTCGCTTATGATTCACGTGGTTCACTCTCTCCTCTTTCTCTCTCTCTCTCTCTCTCTCTTTCTCTCACGAGATTCTTTCACACAAATAGACAATCTGCTGTGAAGGGCAAGCGCGAGCGATACTGCGCAACTTGAGAACAACGAAAAACGCGGCGAAAAAAGGCCCCTCGTCGCGTTCCGACGGGTGGCGCCGATATGCATATGCCGAGAGCGAGACACACCAACATGCGCGACTACTACCATTCAGTTGCATTCGTGCGTGCGTGTGTATGTGCACGCGGCCGCGTATGCGTGTCGGTGCGACACGGAGACCGGTCGAAATCTCTCTTCAATGGCAGTAATTCGTTCCGAAATACATCGACGGCCGGTGGCCAGGTGTTGGTGTGGCACACGTACACCTGTCGTCGATCCATGCGCGATCGAGGTTACGAAACTCGAGAGATTTCTCGACCAAAGATGCGGGGCATTTCGCAACGGGTCCATGTACAACACGCCTATAAACGCTCGTCGAAAAGAATTTCTTCTTAAACAGACCCAGGCCTGTGGGGGTCCGACTAAAAGAGATAATTTTAACGAATTGCGCCTTGGAATCGTCAAAGACGCAATAAGAATAGACTGCATTCCTATAAAATTGTTACTATCGGTTTAGAAAGAGTGAGGTAACTTGAATGAATCATATCGCGCTCTCTCTTTCTACGTAGCGAATTGAAGAGAGACGCCAATAAGATATTTAATATTCAATTTTTTCTAATGGAACACAAATGCTTATAAGATCAAGGAATGAGCAGTTTACCAATATATATGTATATTCTATTTATTGCGTCTATAAGAAACGCAATAGATGAGGAAATCTAACAACATATTTGATTGGACGTACTCAATGCGCATTCACATTAAAGTCATTACACATAAATTGAGAAAAATGTAAAAACGTGTGTTCAAATATAAACGGTTAAACCACAAAATCCTCAATTCAGATTGAACATAAAAGATTAAAACGACGTGACGTTAAGTACAAATCATCATTATTTTAACATTACTTATTAAGGGGTTAGTACACTCCAGAGACGGCTTTTTTTGTTAATTTTTGGGAATTAATTTATAAAAAAGTATGTAAGCTAAACGGCTAATTTTTTTTTATTATTTTCTACATATATCGAAGAACACGTCAAATTTTTTTTGAGTCAAAAAATACAGAATTCGCTGAGTTACGCTGCTTCGCGCGTAACCATGATTTTTCGAGGTGGCCTGGTGGTGTACATGGTTTGGCAAAAACCAGTAGTCTGGAACAAAAATAAAAAATTTGTGATTATCTATGATATACTGGCTATCGGCTAACGGAGTCTTTGTTTTTTTTTTAATTTTTGGCGCCGAGAAAAAAATTCCTGAATTTTTAGTTTCATTTTTTGTCAAAAAAAATAAGTTATTATTATTAATAACTTTTGAACAAAACAAAATATTGAAAAAACCGTCCGTTAGCCGAAAGACACTAGTCTTTAGTATATGTGTACCAAATTTCAAGTCGATTCGTTAAATAGATCCCGAGAAATCGTGTACACCGTCTTGAAAAACATAGTTTCGCGTTTAAAGTTTTGGTACTAGTTTTTTCAGTGATAAAATTTATTTAAGCATCTTACCCTTAATCTGCCATTTCTGCCTCATAAAAGGAATCTTCTTCTTCACATTCTTAGCCCGTTCTTAGTTTCTTCGCAGAAGCACTTGTCGAAGCCGTTTCACTCTCAAACATATGACGATTCGGTATCGCCGGTCTTTTTTTGTTTTCGAAAATTCAATGAAAAAAAATTCTAGCGGGTATGAAACCTTTTGCCTTTTATTCTAGAGAGGGTTCAAAGGATTTTTTAAGCCAATAACCAAATTTTCGATTTTTTTAAAATTCTGGAGTGTACTAACCCTTTAAATATCATTAATAATGTTAAGAATTCATTATAAAATTATCGTCAAAAGTGTATTATGAAAATCATGATTTTCTCTAAAACGATTTGATGTCATCATGATCTCATTATAATTTTGTGTTCTATTTAGAAATGCACTTTATTCTTCGAAATATTGAAATTTGACATTTACATGCATTTGGATTAAACGGCTTTATATAACGGCTTTAATATGCACCAATATGCGTCTAATCGAATTTGCAATAGCTTTTTTGATTAATTTATTCAGGCGGAATTTCGATAACGTTTGCACTTGAAGAATCGGAAAATATGGGGGAAAATAACACTCGATTAAATTGCGGAGACAAAGGAAAAGTCATTTAATTTTTTTAACTATCAAGCAATACATTACTCTGTGTGCGTCAAATAAATACTCCGGATAAGATGGATAAAATACAACGCAATTCAGCGTGAGTACCATTTACGATTACGATTAGATTACATGTAGCGCTATTTTTCTATTCCATTTTAGTCAATCGTATATCTATATACAATGTTAAGATTCATAAACATGTTTACCACTTTAAACCTCTGTTGTTTCCGATGAGAAGATAAATCTTTGTGAAATTTGTTTGTTCCCGCGCGCGTGATGTTTTTCCGAAAATACGAAACGCGAAACTCGCGGAGTCTTGATAAAACGCATCACGGTCTCCGCTCCGCGCCTGGATCTGGTCACGTTAGTTATAGGCAGTAATTGAGACTATTGAGGCGTAGAATATGGAGCAGATCCTCTAACATATAGCTAATATAATATTCAATAACCGAGTGCTCAAGGGTAACACTTGACACATATCTCACCGCGCGTCCCCGTACGCAAGTTTTATTACCCATCGCATGATCGGTTAATGATGTCGTGATCAATCTGTGACACAAATATCCGTTTATATCGTCTGGCGGGCTGTCCTTCCACGACAAAGCGGGACAAAATCGGGCTAGATGTGTGCGAACTTATATCTCGTACCAGGACGCGTATTGTTTCGTTCTAGAAACTAAAATCGAACAAAGACTGTTCAAATGTCGATTGTTCGGACTAGCACAAAATAGTGATAACGAGTTATTTTTACCTTTACTTGTTATTCGCCCAGAGAGATATAATTCATGCTGTGAAACTATATTAATTTTCAAAGAATTCAATATATATATTAATTTTGATGTGGTTTCCTAAAAGAATTTTGCTTTTAACATTATTATGTTAGAAATATTATAGCAGTATATACGATTTTATTGGATTCAAACTTGACCGTGTTGAAACCCAAACAATCTGAGTTGTCGAAACAACGTAGGCGACGAAAATACTTTTTAACTTTATATATTATATAATACGCGATATGCAACATCGAGATTAGAATAATTACGTAATAAGAATATGAGGTTTAATTAACATTTAAAAAACGAGATGATTTAAGAAAATAATTAAATGAATTAAAAAATTAATAAGCAATAATAAAGTATAATTTTAAACAATAAAAATTATTTTAATAGACAAAACGAGGAATAATCTTTGAAACAATATAAGTGAACAATATAAATCAAACACACAAACATTTTTTTTAACTGGTAATGAAAAAAGAAAATAAAATTTGTTGTAACTTTTTATTGGACGCTCAAGTTGATTACTGAAATATCAAAATCTTTGCAATCTTTACTCATAATCTTTACTCGTATCATGCTTGAGCGTCCTACATAATTATTTTGGTGGTCCGGCAGTTATTTTCAGATCTGTATCTGACCTAATTTTTACGTACTTCAGCAAAACCGTTCTTTCCGTGTTCTTTGTGAAATTCGCCTTTCGCGTCGTAATACAGCGATGTTGGCGGCGAAAAACATGACCTCATATTCTTGCTACACAATTTTTCAAATTCCAATCTCGCGTCGTGTTATATTAGATGCTGAAGTGTTTTCCGTCGCGCCACGTTTTCGACAACACGAATTGTTTGGGTTCCAACGTGGCCAAGTTTAGATTCATACAACAAAATTATACATTATTACATATAAATACTATATATAGTATACAATTATATTTAATTATAAAATAATGTTATAAGCGAGGGGAAAAAACATTCAAACTTCAAAATTGTACTTCGTATACGTAATGCTTTTCATATTTGGTCGATCGGCAGAAATAATACAACTTCTATTTCTTTTGTGTGAACTAATTACGTGTAGAGCTCTCGCTATCTTCGGACGAAAGGCGGAGAAACGTTTCACGACTCGTGATTGCTCCTCCAATTCTCTTACGTCCAAAGGGTTGTCTTGTCTATGGCGTGCTATGGAGTGTTTCTCGAGGCCGTGTCCCTGAGGTAGACCTCGAGCACGCATGCTCCGGCCCCGCGCATTTTATATTCATATATATTTAGCTACTGGCCGAGGGTTGTGTACGGTCTGACGTGGCCGACATCGCGGAGAACTCTCCCCGACGACGCGACGCGACGACGGTAGCGTGCCGTGCGCCCGTTGCGCGCGGTCGCACGCGGTCGCACGCAAGAATTTAACGCATAATCCACTCTCGGACGATCGCGAAAGCGAAATTCGCGCAGGGACGAGCGCGATTTCGCATCCAATTTGCGCTACTTGCGCTACGCTATTATTGCGTGTCGCTGCATTAAAGAACGCGCGATTCATCCGTCGCGGTCACGCTGCTTTCATTTTGCAACTCATCTATCCTGTTAAGAACGTCCCGTTAAGAGCGAACGTATAACTGCTGATTTCATTATCGCACTTCTTTCCCTTCTTCTCGATCAGCTACGTGGAACCATTTTAGTCCAACGAAAAAGAGATGTTAGCGAGGAGCATAATAATTATTACGATTATCTCTAAAAATTTACCTACATTGAAAACAAATTTACTGGATTTTATTAAATTAATACCTGTTGGAATAGTATTAACAAAATATTTATTTACAGTAAATAAATATTTATTTAAAATAAAATTATATTTAAATTATACATAAATGTCCATATTTTTTAAATATTTTATTAGTATTATTCAAGAGTAAATATTTAACAAAATTCAGTAAATTTTATTTTAGTACAGTTGCAGATCTAAAAACAATTTTGCATAATCAAATGTGCGGATAATTAAATCTGGGAACGTATAAATATTGATGATAAAAGGTTTTAACTGTAACCGTTTAAGCTTCCTACATATAATTATTGCAGATGATCCAGACAAAATTATTTTCAGATCTGTCTGTTAAATTATTTATCTATCTAGCTAAATACCCAGATACTGCAGCAAAATCGTTCTTTCCGTGTATGCATGTAATTTGTATATGGTGCCACAATTAAATACTGGCCTGTATTTTTATACGCGCGTAAAGTGTCCCTGATACGACAGGTAAAACTCTATCAAGCATTTAATATAAACATTACATTCAACGTACCACACAGGCATTGTTATATTTAGAAAATCGATCAACACATTTAGGGTAAATGTCAAGACTAATTCACTCCTCGATGGGGCTGATATAGAAGCATTTTAATGCGAATATAATATGTCGCGTGCGAATTATTATAAGTGAGAATCGTGTACTCTCTGTGTAGTATCTCTCGAATATTTCATTTATCACACACACGTTAGGTACATTCGATGCATATCTCTCTTCGCTCTTCTTAACGCGCAAAAACATAGTCCATGTCAGGTGTCATTAATATGCTACTGAGAGATTCGCGGGAACAGAATTGCGTGGACAGAATTGCGACGTAATTTCGCCGAGATGAGGTCTGTTCCACCATAGAACAGCCTTCTCTCAGCATTATGCTCCTCGCCAGAGTCGTAGACTTGAAGAAACCCGCGTGTGTGACGTGTGTATTAATAGACGCCGGCAGAGTACAGTATTGAGGCATATCAACATCGTAATTCACGGCGTAGGCGTCACGAGAATATCCGTTCGTTGCACCACGTCTTTTCGTGCTAACGCGATCGTTCCTCTCCGCGTTCGGGGGCGACTTCGACCAAACAATGTCGAATGGAACAAGCTGCTTCGAGCTGAACTCGTGAGTGAGACGGTCACTCACAAAAGCTATCTATAGGTCTGTTCTTTGTGGCCGAAATAGTGTACCCAAATGAATAGTGTACTTGAATGAAATCGAGGGGTTAACCGCTATCTGAAATATTGTCCCACAGATTATATGATTTCATTTAATTTTATATAATTTTGTTTGATGACAAATAATTTTCCTCACTAAGGTCATTTTAGATTTTATTTAACATTACATAATTATTTCTTGTACTTGCATATGTAATTATTGCATATGTAAATTTTATAATGATTTCAAAGACTCCGTCCCACGATTACATTAAGTGATTACCCCCGCGAATGAAATAGATAATATGCATTAAAGGTTTGTCGAAAGCGAGATTGGAAGTTTTAGTACAGTTCAGTGCAGAGACAAAGAACAGGATCTCTTGTCAGAGACAGAGAAGTGTACATACTTTTTGTAGATATTATATACAATATAGTAGAAATTGCGGTGTTGTTCGAAATGAATATGATGACAGTCGAGAAGTGATGAAAGGAAATAGCTGTTTTTTTATAACGAGCGAACACAGAATGAAGTAAATTAAACACTGTACTTTGTTCAGTTAAGAGATCCATTACTTTTAGCACGTAATATATATGAAAAGAATGTATGAATTTAAAAATAAATATTATGAAAAAGGAGTCGAAACGGTTGGTTAATTCAGTGCCGTATATTTTCGTAATAATTAATGGTCATCATTTGCACGCAATAATTAACTTTCGCTTTTAAAAACTATGTAATACATTTTTATGACTCTGTATGAGTCACTCTGAATATAAATGATCCAATTTGTCATTCTAATATATTCTACAAGTTCGGAATTTCGCGGATGCTTTCCACACACTTTTTATATTTTCAACTCTACTGTTATAGTAATTCAGTCACTTACATTACACTGCATTAATGCATACTAAAACTGCTGTACATAAAAAATTAGTAAAGTTAAATGCAAATATGTACAAATATTTTTAAAATATTTAAAAATGATAATTTCACATTATTAGAGAGTGTTTGTAATAAGTACCGTTTATCCCTGATACGGTGAACGTTAAAGTTATCCTTTTAATTAGGTGTGAAGAAAAAGATAACGTGACTTTAGCGTTCACTGTATCTGGGATAAATGATACTGCAAAAATTCCCTATTATCTAACAGAATGTTTTATTTTGTTGTCAAATTTGATTATATTATCACTGCACTTAAATACTTAATATAAAATAGTTTTAATGTGTAAATTAATACTATTAATCCAGTATACTGAGAATGAGCCTGAAGTCATATTCAAACAATTCAGATTTCTTTATCAATAGCTGATGTAACACAATAGGTACGTTCCGAGATACTGACGGTCCTGAAAGTATTGAAAATCTATAGACGCTGTGCGTAGATGCTATAGATTTTTAGTACTGTCGGTACACATTTCAAGACACACCCAATTGTCATCGGATTACCATATCCACTTGATTGACGCAAAAGTCGGAAATCGATCACCACGTCGCAAAAAATACTGGCACAGTATTGAATATTACAATCAAGATAATATTCAAGAAACGCAGAAAAATCAACAAAAAATCGAAATGGCTTTTTAATTTTTAATGTCGATGAACAGTCAAATTTTTGTAATAAAAAATCATTATGTTGCCTTTCACGACGTCAAAATAGTCATTTTGATTTCCTCTTGACTCGGTACGTTCTTTGAGTATATAATTATATACGGTACTTAAGTACCGAAATCTATCTATATATAGCTTACGTTGCGTATGCTATAGACTCAGCACTATATAGGAACATTTCAGGACACACCCAATTGTCGGATCATCGTATCCGATCAACGAGAAGTCGGAAGAGTTTGTTGTCGTGCCAAAAAAAAAGATCATATACAGAGTCATATTATGACGAGAAAGAGACTCGAGTTTCATATTGCACGTGAATCTCGCGTCGTTAATTCGTGATCGACTACTCGTTAATTGTCCATCTTCGAGAATCAAGGACAGATAAGGATAATGCATACGCATAATGCGGGTACGCGGTTGAATCGTCGATCACGGCTAGAGGCTCGCCATGACACCACCCGAAGTGCAACGCCGCCCCGTCGCGTCGCCTTGCGTTGCATTGCGTTGCGTTGGACGGAGGTGCACAGGATCGTAGCATCACGTGGCATCGATCATCGACGAGCGGACGTGACGATGATGGTCACGCTACGAGAAATGAATAATAATCACGAGAAACGGAAAAGTTTTCCTGTGTGTATGTTACATAAGCACGTACAGTACAACGAAGATGCTTTTTCGTGTGCAACACGGCTGCAGCAGCGAAAATGTCACGTGATGCAAAGTTTTTATAATCGCTTTATTCCAATGTATTCGCGAAAGCAATTATGAAAGATTCATATTTCCGTCAGCCTCATCCGATGCCGCGTTCTTTGATGTATTTTTTTTTTTTTAATGTTTCCGTTGATGGAATTTTCACATTTCATTTTATGTTGCCGCACAGCGTGCTGCGTATGAAAAATCATCTCGAGACGAAGAAGCCAAGTAGAGTAAAATGTGTCCAGTAGATTCTCGATTATAATAATAAATCGCTGTAGCATTTATTGTATAACATTGCTAACAATAATATAACATTTCCAACAATATAAACTCTACGAACGTAAACTCCATGCACGGCTTTGTCTTACTAAAATTCTAAAGCTCCAATCCAGCCGTCGTTAATTATAAAACTCGCGTCCTTCCGTTCCGCTACAATTATTTTTAACAAAGTAGGCGTAGAAAAAAAAGCATGCGACGTGCACGCATATATTACACAATATACTTAGTAGAATAATAGTTTCTTTTTTAGTAAATACTAGTTTTCTAAAATGAAAATTTTTCCTAACAAAATCCTTAAAATTATAAAGATTCTACTCACTTTCTAATACTTTCCTTCGTCTAAAAAAAAAAAAAAAAAAAAAAAAAAACAATTCCTTCGTCTAAAAAAAAAAAAAAAAAAAAAGCACAAAGAAGCCTTGCCACGCCTCGGCGATAATACGGCCCTGGTTGATTGCGCGCGCATCGCGAGTGTATACCGCGCAACAACAAAAATACATTGTCTGGTGCATTTGACGACGAACAGTCGACGCGCCAGCATCCCGTAGAGTTCGGGTCGTTGACGTACGGAGGAAAGCCAAAAGAAAGAGAGAGAGAGCGAGAAGGGAGGCGGGTCAGAGACGAGAAGAGAACGAAAAGGAGCAGCTGCAGCGTTTTCCGCTTCCGCGTGTAGCAGCGAAGAGCGTATAATTCCTATTCTTTCGCGCGAGAGCCGACGTCGCGTGTCGTATATACGATTCAGTGATCCACGGAGCAATACAGTGAGAGTGACGAAAATGGTGTCCGGCGGCATGGCTTGCGTCAAGTACCTGCTGTTCCTCTTCAACCTGATATTCGCGGTGAGTAACGGTGCCGCGGAATAACGGTGCGCGGCCAGGACGCCCGATGGGGAACGACGTTCTGCGACGCTCGCGTTCCGCTATCCGGGCCGCTATTCTCGGCGTCGCGGCGTCGCCTCGCGTCGCGCTGGGCGGGCGCGGGCTTTGTTGTATATCGGTCAAACCTTCGGCAGCAGCATCTGGGAATCTAATCTCGACCCGCTTTGCTCTCTCGTCCAACGCTAAACTTTAGCGGCTTAAAGCATACACGACACCGTCTCGAACGGTCCATAGCTCGCACGCTGGCGAACCGATGAATCATTCGACGTCACTTCATGCAAGTTATGGGACGTGAAGTAACTTTTTTTTTTTTTTTTTTTTTTTTTTATGAAGTCGCGTTCGCTTTAATTGATATCAGGCACTTTAGATCGGTGGAGACGGACTTGGCGAATTTAACGATATTTCAGACGAGGGACGTTTTACGTTTTCGTTGTTTCTTTTATTTGTTTGCCGCGGACTCACACTCGAGTAAAACACGAGTAAAACGCAAACATCGTGACATCAAAGAACTCCGAAGTGACTACCAAAAGTTATTTTTTAATCAATAGCGATTCATTTTTACGTTCTTCATGACGTTATCGTTACTCGTTTTGCTTAGACAATGGCAAGATTCTTAAGATCACGGCGGTTTCCCTTTTAGGAGACGCAGTCGACGTACAAACGTCGTTCTGTCTTTGTTATCCATTGAATGTCAAGAAGGATAGAACGACTTTTGTGTCGACTGCGTCTCCTAAAAAGGAAACGGCCTACGTATATTGGATATGTAGTATATCTAATATGTTACCACAGAGGATAAGATAAGGTCTATTCGCGTTATGTGAAATTCTGAAAAACAATTTCACTCGAAAGGAGATAAACGTACTCGAGCGTTGAGAAGAGAGAGAGAGAGAAAGCGAAGATGCTGTGTGCAAAAAGTACGACGCAAACAGATCTAATCAACGCAAACAGACCTAATGTCGTCGATTGCTACTATCGGTTTTTCTTTTCTTACGATTACGTTAACACGACGCAATCTTGGGCGTATTGGATCGATATTACGCACGACTCGGTGCGGCGAGGGGACCTCTTCTTGGGATTCTTTCTATTTGCGCCGTTCGCGTTAGTTTTTAGAAAAACATTTTTCTAGCGCCACTCCGTACTGATGCGCCTAATGCCTCGTCTAATGTCCAATAATCTATTATCTAATGACAATAATAATTTAATCGATATCGTGTATGGCGTGACCGAAACCGCGTACCGCGTGTCTGAATAAATGATGTAAGTACGAGGGTATCATTTCGAGGGAAACTTTGTGGTGCTTATGCTGCTCCAGAACCTCGATGTAAGCGTTATGGATGAAGCGATCGATATCCCGCCCCCTCCTCCAGTCTCCTCTTTTACGTTTAACGTAATCTAGAGTTCACCCGTCTCAACATAGTGGCGCGCGCGCGACACCATTACATATAAAACTTATAATGTACACGCGAAATCGTATTAAAAAAAATTCAAGGCCACCAAAACGCCGGATTATCCGCGTAATTCAATTCGATGTCCTTTAATATCCTTTCTAACAAAGTATATCTAACGAAATCTTCTTTCTCTATATACAATGATATTTTCGTCTGTGAAGAAAAAATGTTAACTGAAATATATTTTAGACCGGTGACCGTCTTTTGATGCCTTCGTCTAAAATATGGATAGAAGGACAATGTCAATCGCGCGTTTTGACGGAGGAAGTTTATTTAAAAGGCGGATACACAACAAAACTACCGAAAGCCACGTTTATCCCAGGAGACTCGTGTACATACAAATGCCATCATCGTATTATACGGACGGAAGGATCTATATACATATATAGGACACAAAAACAACTCTGTAAAGGATGACAGGGCGGGGTGTCTGTCGTGCGTCCCTTATTGTAACGTTTAATGATCCGTCCAGCGTGAAATGCCAGCGCGCGGCGACCGCGTTTATACAGAGCGTACCAGAAGAAGTACGAGCTGGACGGGTGGCTTTGTTCCTCGCAATGTTCGATGTCAGTTTCTTCATTCAACGAAAGATACCGTCAACGTCATTTCTCAACTTCTCCGGCTGATCCTTTTGAATCCTGAATTTAAAACTCCAGGATGCCGATTATGTAACGTTTTCTTAGAACGGAAAAGTGAAAAATATCTCTATTAACTTCCTACAAATTCAAATAAAATCATTTTGATTTTCTGTTGACCTTTTTGATGTGTTCTTCGAGTTCTTGGGTTCCAATAATCCAAGCATAACATACAAGTCATCGAAATGACGTTAAAATGGTTCCAAAATAATGCAAAATAATTTGTTGTAAAATTCTTTAACAACCTATACAATTAGATCCAGTGAAGAATTAAGGGCAAAGCCAGTCATATTAAAGAACTTTACAACAGTTGCAAAGTTGCTTTTTCTGCTGAACGCAGCCAATGGTTGCTAAAAGTTATCGCTAAAACTTTTCAGTCAGCAACGATTCACAGTTTAACGTCATTTTGCCATTATTATAACGTGTCGTGCATTTTTGCTTGGAAATGGTAGAAATGTTCACGTTTTCGCCCTGGGGAAAGAGTTACTCGATCGCTATTCAGTATAGAATATTATATCCTCTTCGAACCGAACGACGAATGAATTAATTTACGAGCAATGTCTCTTTCAATGACATTCTTACTAAAGCGAGGATAGACTTTAAATTTCACAGGGGAGACACAAGCGGTGTATATACGTGTCGCCGTTCGTATTCTACACTTTGCTTTCTAGGACATCCCAGATCGTATGGATCGCTGTGCGTTGGGCGCGTCCTCGTTACTGAAACTTTTCAATAGATTCATACATAAAGTTCGCCGTGGTAGAGTCACCTGTTAGCGAACGCGTACGGGTCTCGAGACAGGCTGTGATACCAAGTATCGCTCGAGGGCGAGCGAATCGACCGGTCGGTCGAGCTCGGTTTCGTTCCTTCGAAGGTCTACTTACTACGAGCGCGTGTGACTCGCGCCGGGAACGTAGGTGAGCCGTAGGTGAAAGACACGTAGGTAACCACATAGACAAGGGGGAGAGGTCTATAATCTCCGTCAGGCGGCGACGAACGACGTAGCCTTATTCCTATACGACGCGATGTCGTAGTCACGCGTGTTTTTTTTTTCTTTCTCCCCCAGTCACGTAGAATGCCGGCTCCCGTACACTGGAGATGGCTTTATTTAGACAGATCCAGCAACGTGAACGGGTTGCGCGCCGCCGACGAATTCTTCTTGATCGTGGGCTTTCCGCTTTGGTATAGAATAGAGCGATCTGGAAGAGACCTATAAAGCAGAATCCGGTTGCCCTGAGCAATTTTCTCAAAATCCTACGAGAGAGAAAGATATATATACTTCTTTCCTGTGTATATATACTCATGTACTATCTCACTCTAACTTATATTGTCTTTATAATTTTAATTAAAATTGTACAATAAAACAGTTTAAGTTATAGAGTGAGATAATGCACCTCTCTCTAAGGAACATACAAAAGTCAACAAAAAATCAAAATAATATCACAATGACTATTTCGATGCTTAAAGCCAATAAATAATCAAATTTTATAACGAAAAAATTAGAGTATATATATATATAGAAAGAGAGAGAGAGAGAAAGAGAGAGAGAGTGAAATAGTATATGTATTCATACAGAGAAGAAATATACCTTTCTCTCGTAGGATTTTGAAAAAAATTGCTCGTGGCCGGATTTTGTTATAAGACCTTTAATGGCCACTTCTCCACCAATGTAGATTAACTTAATCTCGGCTCAACTTACTCTCTTTATCTTATTTTAATTTTTAAAACTGGAAAAAGATAAAGAGTAAGTTAAATCGAGATTAAAGTTAATCTATTTGAAACAGGCACAAGCCGAGTCTAGTTTCTTGAACGTAATGACGCAAGAAAACGAAATTTGAAAGTTACGGTGGGTCTATAATGAATCGACAGTCTGTAATCAGTGAGTCGGAAGCGAGTTTAATCGAAAAATCGAGATTAGTCGAAATCGATGAGTGAGTAAAATACTGACTCATTACAGGTGTTTACGTCAGCTTGTGTTTTAACGATAAACACAGTTACTCACCTTTAATAATTCTTGTAAGATATCTTATCTGTAAAATAAAAAAGTTATCGTAGATCAAGAATCATAGATCTTATAGCCATGCTTGGTCTGACAATTTCAGCTTGTACATCAAACACTTTTATACAGTAATACAAATATTCGCAAATACTTAGTTTTCTTCTGCAATTTTCAGATGACAAAGTTACAAACGTTACCTTTCTAATTTTCATACAACAATGAGTTTCTTATACAATTTCTTAGTAAAGCCACTTTCGTAATCTACCCGCGAGAGTCGTTCTCGCGCAGTTAGGTATCTCGTTGAAAGTTACTTGGCGTAATTATAACAGTTTTATGCGCTTCCCGTTGGTAAACAATACAGCTCTTACGTGATCATAATTTCCATTTAAAGTTAAGCTATTAGCGGGAGAAAAGTATTGAATGTCTGTTCTGATTACTTGAGGTGCCGATTGCAGCTCATCTTTGAACAGGAAACAGAAATATGTATTTTCTAAGACAATATCAAATTTGACGAGCGTGTTAAAATTTTCATTAATTATGTATTTACGAAATAATATAGACGTTTCTCAATAAATATCGTGTTTTGAAGTTCTAATGCAATGACTTTAATTAAAGATTTCACTTTAGAAGCGCGCGCTTTGTGAAAGTATAAGCGCTAATATAATCAAATATAAATATAAAACAAAAAGCATATAATTTAACCTAAATTCAAAACGCTGATATCAGAAACTAGATTTGAAACTAAAGCAGGCTTTTCTTCTTAGCTTTTTAAAAAATTTTTTTTTTTCTTAATAATTTAAATAATATTATACATATGGATGCAAGTTGTAAATTTTTACTTTGAAAAAAATATTATATAATTTTTATCTTAACAATATAGTAATAAAATATAAAATCGTAAAAGTATAAAACTGCGTTTAATAATGTGTACAAAAATAGAATTGAGTAATAGATAAATATTCTTATCATTATATGTATATTATGTCTTATACTAAAAAATAGGAAGGCTAGATAAACGAAATGAGCGCGCGAAAGAATGGATGAATAGATTAAGGAAAATTTATAAACCAAGTCCTCTTCTTGGCTCGTAAATATGCTGAAATGGACAAAATTCTATTCTATACATTGTGTTATAGTAAAGATAATAATACGTTACATATATATAATAATACATTGCATATTAAGATAACGCGTCACTAAATGTAATAATTGAAAGATTAACAGTAAATGTATTTTATGTATTATTTCAGATCACCGGCATCGTATTTATTTCAGTGGGCGGTGTGATTCTGGTTGTTTACAGCGGGTACAGCAATTTTGTGGATAGTTGGTTCTTTGCAGCCCCACTCTTAATGATAGTAGTTGGTGTCATAGTCTTCCTTGTATCATTCTTTGGATGCTGCGGCGCTGTAAAAGAGAATCACTGCATGATAATAACGGTATATTTTTCAAAAAACATACTGTTCAAAAACATTCAAATACTATTAATTAAAGCTGTACTATTACTTCTTTTTCGTGTAACGAGAATACGAGATTTTGATTTATCTCTTTAAATATCTTCTATTATACATGACCTTTTAAAAAATAATTAAATCAAAAAGAGCTCTTATTTTGTATGTGAGTTTGCTAGAATATATTATTCTATATAATATACCTGTTCAATAATTTTTATTTACTGTAGTTCTCGGTCCTGCTGCTGCTGATATTTGCTCTGGAATTGGGCGCTGGAATTACAGGTTACATGATGAGAGGAGAAGTTGGTAATATGTTAGGAAACCGTCTAAATGGTACTTTGCGACAATATGAGCTTAATCCGGATATTCGTCGTTCATGGGACATCATGCAGCACGATGTAAGTTTACTAAATTCTTTGTATACAAACGTTACATTTAAATTTGTATTTATTGCTGTAAGAAAAAATATTATTGATATTACATATTATGTAAGAAGAAAATCCTTTCTAGTTAAATAAATATCGTACTAATTTTATTGTATGCCGTTAATGAAATTTGTAATTAACTGACAATTGAAACATGATTTCAGTTACAATGCTGCGGTATGAATGGCCCTGCAGACTGGCCCCATATTGGTTTCCGTGATAATACTGTTCCCGATTCCTGCTGCAAAGAGATTCCTACTCAATCGCGATGCGACTTGAATTCCATTCATGTGTACGGTGACGGCTGCATGATGAAACTGAAATCTGCTATAGAAAATAATGCTATGATCCTGGGAGGAGTGGGTATAGGGGTAGCCCTCATACAAGTAAGTTCTGAGTCAAACTATTATTCATAATTAGCATTATGAAATGTATTAAATAAAATACTTGTAAATTTATTAGATATAAGGAACTATTATATGCATTAATAAAAGAGAAAGATTTGTTATATAAATAATATTAAATACATATAACATTTCAATGTTTATATTAATAATAGTAATATTAATTAGCAAAAGATAAATTACTTATCTGGAAAAATGAAATTATAAAACAATAATTTTTCTTCTTTCAGTTGATTGGAGTAGTCTTTGCGTGCTGTCTGGCTCGCTCAATTCGCCGCGAGTATGAGACTGTGTAAGCTGATAGACACAAATTTTCATTGCAACAAGCCTAAAATGCACTTGTATAAAACCTGATCTTTTACACAAGCTGTCACTATTTTTTCCCTTATTTCGTTACCATTTAACCATGCACAATTATAAAAAAAAAATTTCTTTCTTTTATCGCTTCTATTTTTAACACATTGCAAAGAAGCCGTTAATTATTTTTTGTCAAAGAGTGCGTGATAGGTAAAAACATATTTAAAGATCTCCAAAGAATCTCACTGCTATTTTGGTATCTGGGCCTTATCTATCAGACATAAAAACGTCACACACGTATGTTTTGTATGTTTTTACAATAGGCTCTCGAACAACTTTGTATATTAATGATAACAGAGTATCTGTGTTACGCTCGGAGATCATACATTTTTTAAATAAATATATATCTAATTTGTTCAGTGTCATTGTGATACTGTTATAGTTGAGCCACGATAACCATACATCGATAATAAAGTTATATATAAAATATAAATCACTATATATTATATATATATATATATACATATATATAAAATGCGTTAAAGCTTCTTTTTATTTAATGTCTGCTTCACGTGAATAATTGTTTAGCTTATTAGCAAAAGCATACTTTTGTCGTTTCTATATATATTTTTGCTTCATAATATTTCGCATGATGTAGTGTATATTGATATTGTTGTCGAGGCTCTGCTATAATATTCAACAGTATCATCTTCAAGTTATAAGAACATTCATATTTCTTAAGACTTCATTTTGTTTTTGGATCGATATGTTCCTGTACGAACATATATTTCAGTATATAATTTTTTCGAAAGGTCATCAGAGTTTACCAGAGCACAAATGCATGCATATATGGTAAATATTTATATAAATTTATATAAATTGTTTTATTATATTTATACATTATTATTGTATTATAAATATATATTTTGGTACAATTTAATGTTCTGAAAAAATGTATACATCTTTTTTGATAAATAAAATTTGTAATATTAAATGAAGGAAGCCACTAATTATATAGATAATTCAAGATGCAAAATGAAGTATTAAGATACATGAATATACTCTCAGCATTAACCCAATGGTGTATGATGAAGGGCATTTCCTTTATACATATATTGCATGTTATATAATCCATTCAAAGAGAAAATTATACTTTAACCAGTTAATAGGATGTACTATACTTGTGAACTGCAAAGAAACTGTGATTGAAAGTAACATGTGTCAATGCGCAATTTATTTTTTTTGGTATATTTACTTCTAATTTGTGGCTAAATGGTACTCTTCAGATTAATGAAAAATTTCCATGTTTAACAAATTGAAAGAGAAGTGTTAGCCTCAATTTGCAATTGCATGTTAATTACACGTATATGTTGCTGCGCGCGTGCTGTGCGTTCAATACAAAACAAGAAATATACTATATATATCTAACATTAAGATATTTTGTTGTTTACCACAATGTAAAGTTTACATAGTGTTACAATCATGAAAAATGTCTTACGAGATGTATAAGTGTATAGAAATAGACAAAACGTAATAGTTGTTCATGTTATATAAAAAATATAGTAAAGCGTAATTTATAACAAAATTATTTCAACAAGAGGACTTATATTTTCAGTTAAACAGCAATAGAATTGCTTCAACTTGATTATAAAATGTCGTTTTAAGCCGATGTTGGCAATAAAAATACTCGTTATTAAAATCTACATTTTAATAGTATCACACAAAAATTAAAGTGTATCTTTTGTTTTCCGTTGTTTGTACTATATATATACGAAATTATATTGCTTAATATGCCGTAAAAATAGATGTTTTTTTTTCAAATATTTTATGTTCATACCTAGTGATTTAATATTTTTACTTACAGCGAAACCACAGCACACTGATCTGCCATCAGTTAGGAGGCATTTTTCATAATATTGTTCATCATACATTGATTAATAAATACTTGTAGATTCATTACGACCGTAATCATTCTTATTGTGCTTAAATATATACTCAAAGAGGAATGATGTCACAAGTATTTAGTGTACAGCGATACCGTAAGTTAGTGACGTTTCGGTATGTATGTATGTAATCCATGTAAAATTACATACTTTAGAGAACCATAAATTGGCATCTCTTTTTACTTCGCTTTTTCTTATAAATTGAAAAAAAACAAACCGAATAGTAATATGCATTGAATATTGACATATCTTGTTAAATTTATCATATCAAGTTACTGCCAATGTCTGCCAAAAATATATGTCACATGCAATATGAAAAAGAAAAGGAAAGAGAACTAGTCGAAAAATGTATACAATTCCGTTTACAGAGATTACCAGTGGAACTATGATCAATTTTGGCACATGTACAACGAGGTGCCTGTTAAATGATGTGCCATGATGTAATGTCTGATCTATTTTTTCATGTGATACGTTTGTAAGTTTGGTAATGTTTTGCGAATTATTTATAATCTGTATCTTTATAAGAAATAGCATTCAATGTAGCCATCATTCCTCTTAATTTTTTGCCAGATTTAAATAAACAAAGAAAAAGAGTTACTTCTGCATCATCTTCCTCAGGGTGCAGAATGAGTAAATTGTGTAACGGTTAATTATTGCAAACTTGTGTTCTGATAATTTAATATTACTATAAAATAGTATATATTATATTTGAGTACATAGTCTTGGCATCTATTTTTAATGCCTCCTCATCTTTCTCTCTTTCGACAAAATACAGTCTCTAATACTTATAATATATACGATGTTGTAGAGTAATCTTGTATTAAATTTATAATAATTTTCTGTGTTCTATACGAAGAAAAACAAGAAAAGGCAGTGTACTCTTATTCGTAATCGACGGTGCCCCGTGAAATATATATACATATGCGTGTATATATAGTGTCATTATGTAATACCAGATGTACACAAAAATTCTGTACCAATGATGTAACAAAATTAGCGCATCTTTAACATTTAGCTCGATTTAAATGGAGTATCAAATGGAAGCTAGCTCTATCCTGTCAATAATTTAGCTTGTAATGTCAGTGAACTCTGATATTGATTCTTGCGCTTCATTATATGCTATTGACAGTTTATTGCTACAAAACATTTGTGCATGTTTAGTGCTAAGTTCATTCATATTTGGGACCAAAGTGAAAAGATTAACATTATTTTTACTGATTGTGAGTAACAAGTTATTCCTGAAAAGAAATAAACGATTTAAAATAATTATGTGATACATTAAAACCTATAAAAAGACTCTTCTTGAATTTTATTCATAGGATTCTACTTTCCAGTATTAAAAGAGCTTTCAATAATATTGGAAAAAGAATTAAATTAGTATGAATTATGATGATATAAAACTTGATATTTTACTTATTTATTTGCTTCCATTTAAAGGAGAAACATTTTTTAATGTAATTTAAAAATTGATGCCAATTGGATGTTATTAAATAACATTATGTGCGTTTAAGTACATCGAAAATGTACAGTACTCTTTAGATTTATACCTATGTAACAGAGATAAAAGGGAAAAAAATTTTTTAAATTTCACTGCGTCTTGTCGATTTCACGAATTCAAGTACCACAATTCAAATTGAATTATGTAAGTTTCTGTAGTCTTGTGTATACAAATGCATGAAAATTTATAACATTCCTTTAGACATATATACCGAACGTTACTAGAACGTATATGTCTAAAAAAATGGAGATACGTATTTATTGCAAATAATTTATATGTAAGAACAAAGAGTATTGATATATTTACTATTTTACAATAATGTTGAAATAATTTAAATCTACCATCGGCACACATACACACACATACACACCTACACAGTGGGCAATGCACAAGATCTCAGAAATAAACATGAACGTCCGTAGGATAAACCATAAATGCAGAAACATAGAAATAATAGCTATGAGATATTAAAGTGTGCCTAACATAGTAACGTTTATGTTATAAGTTGATAGAGATTAGAAAATCATTTCAATGATATTAATCTACCGATCATGCGCAATGTAGCTTCGAAACTAGCACTTGTCCAAAACGTTTGCTCCTTTTGATTATATAAAATCGTCTGTGTTTGTCAGAGATTTTAATTGAAAATTTTAGACTCTGTATGTATTAATTGTACCAGGCAACGCAAAAGACTGACGAAGATTATTGTAATCAGTATTAACTAACATTGGTATATTTTACATACAATATATACATATTATATATATTATATTTACACACACACGTACATACACACATACACACACACACAAACAAATACACACACAAATAACTTTGTACTAAATTCTATTTTGGCTGCTTGTGTTATTTTTAATATAAAGGTAAATTATTAGTATCGTTAAAGTGATACGAATGTAATTTCGTTATTACAGTATCTAATTTACGGCATTTTAGGAGCCAACATGTCCTTAGCACATATTCATCTAGCTTTTATGTATACTAATAAATTTAATGACACTAAATAGTGTTTTCAATGAAAATCCTCTTCCCATCTTTAAAAATTTAATTTAAATTCAAACTCCGTAGAATATAATTTAAAAAAAAAGTATCTTTACGATAAGGAAGGGTAACAATAATAACTACTGAAGAGACCAGCATATAATAAATTGTATTTCATTCGTTATATCATTAAAAGATTGTTTACCAATATATAAGACTGACCTTCGTACATTTGCTTTTTTCCTTGTTTGACATTCATGCTTTTTATACACGCAAATAAAAGTGTTCATGGATCAACTGACTTCCCGGCGTATTGTAATTTTAGATCATCGAAACCGTGCAGAAAAATGCCACAAAGCTTTTCCCCTTGCTTCTCATCATTTTTTACAAGAGATTTTTTAATGCACTTTTATTTTTAGATCGATTTTAAAAGAGCATGCTTTCGTTTCCAGTTAATATACAACGACATTTTTAGAAATAACAAGAGAAATCCATGTTTCTTTAATAGTCTGGTAGTTTTCAAGTGCACGCGGGCATGTATATGTATTATTTTATGTATAATGATCTATTTACAATCCCGAGGCAGGATCAAGACTTATCTTCCATTTTAATTCATAAAGTTGTAAAACTGCATATTGGCTTACAAAATATAAAAAGCCAAAGTTCGCCGACTAAATTAAAGATTATTCAATTTTTGTCGTAATAGTAGGAACTTACGCGATTCGCATATTCTGCACATGCATTTCACGCAATATTTACATTCCTCGAATTTCGTGACGAAAGGGATGTAAAGTGTGTTTACATTTTACACAATAAACTGTACAATATCAATATTCGTCGAGCAAGTTTCTCTCTTTTGCTTTATCATTTTCTTTTCATTAAACTATAATTACACTCACACTACCCGATATTTTAAGCAACTATCTATATTTTAGAACAGATATGTACAAAGTGATTTTAATCACCTTGTTGATCTAATTGTCATATGATATAAAAAACTACGAAAAATTATTCAGGAAACGTACATATACGTGACACATTGAAGCTAGTGAAAGTATTTCTAGCATACTCGGATTTCAGAGCTCAAGTATGCAACAAAATTGATATGTAAATATCCCTTCAGATACAAGTCATATAAAAAGTCTAAGAACGCAATGAATTGCATCAACATTGGTTAGCGCCAATCATATTTTCTTTCTCTACTTACGTTAAAAATTAAGCTATAATATATAGAAAGAATAAGAAATCGCTAATCAGAATTAGTGAACCAGGATTATCGATGCAATCATTAAAACATCAATTTATACATACATATATATGATATAGATAAAATATAAATCCAGGTCAGAATTACAAGATTCTTGAATGTATCAGCATATAAGTATACAGTAAATAATATTTATTTACAATTACAATATATTTTTGCGAATGGGCCCAGACAATTAAATTATGTCTGATACGCAAATATAATCTTAACGTCTGCTTCATGCAGAACATTACAGTTACTGTATTATGAACACAAAATTGTATGCGATAGTTTTGTAGCGTAGCTAAATTATAGTTACATGCTATTAGCCTATATTTTGAGTCAGGCGTCACATGTATAAACACAATAATTTAAATTTAAGACAATTCAATACAAAAATATGGGAGTTTAATTATGGAAAAATGGGCCTCTACATTTACGTCTTATTGCCTATATATCTATTAATTACTTACAGTTTAGATTATCAATATTGTTCATGTTATCTCCTATTCTAGAAACATTAGCAGCATTGTGGATAATATTGTTTTTGTAAACAATACAATCCATTTAAATACTATCTCATTGTAACTTTTAAGTGAAAAACTCCTGTCTCGTTATGCCCTAGCACACTATTTAAACACTTGCACGCACATTCATACATCCTTAGGCACATTACATACTCTACATAAAAGCACATCACAATCATGTTTGAGCTGATCTCAAACGGTCTTCGCTCACTTGTGTTTTCTGACCAACATGATCATAAGGATGTGTACAGGCTACATATGAGACAAGTTGTATGAGAGCAGCAATGATCATAAGTTGGCATGAGACTAATAGGAGTTTAATTGAATAAAGAATATGCTCATGTAGCATAGCGCTTGGTCCAAAGCCGCGCTATGCGATCGTGTTCTTCTCTATTTTGTAGGTATTGCGTAGCTATACTACCTACCAGTGGATCAGCTGCAAAATAAAATTATTTAAAATCTACATAACTATGTCAAAGAAATTATTATCTACAGAATGTTATTCTAAAAACAAACAAGATATTGTACGTTCATTCATTATTTACAACGTAAATATTGTACATCGATTTTAAATAAATTATCATAAATAATGCACCTACCTGGATTGCAGTCTGTTAAAAGGGAACATATTGATAGTAAGACTTTTGAAATTGTTAATGCAGGAGACCAATTGTCCTTTAATATATCCAAACAAATAACTCCTTGACTATTTATATTGCAATGGTAGATGCGTGTTCGGAATGTAACCTGTAGAACACATTTTTGTTTGAAACAAAATTGTATAGATAATTATTGAGAACATATGTCGCACTATTTTACTAAGATAACTGAAATAATTGGAAATTTTCTAAGAATATTTCAGATATAAGGAATTACTAATGCAATAGTAATAGTTTACTAACCTCTTTATAGATATTATTATGTGTATAAGAAATATTAATATTTATTTAAAATATACAGTATATAGATATTTCAAAAGTCTCATGTAGAAAAATAACAATATTTCAAATAATATTTTCATTTAAGTTTTTATTTACTTCTTCACTCTCTGACGTTGTTATGATCCTGTATGTATTATCGTTTGCGATATAAAATTAACGAAACTATCAACTTACCTTGGGAGGTTTAAAAGGATATTCTGGCGAGAAATGTATATCAAGAAAGAACACACCACCTTCATAAACAGAACCTGGAGGACCTAATATGGTAGAGACCCATTCATATAAGTTATCACCTTTTGGTCCTGCACTGTAAAATGAGTTAATGTTAAAACAATTAATGTTATTATGTATATATTTTTCTCATAAGTACATAAACTGTCATTTCATAATTCACATTATTATATCTCTGCAAAATTATTTCAAAAAGAATTATAACCAATGACAATGGTACTATACCTGCAATTGGGAGGTGGATCTAGCGTAATTTCTGCCAATTCTTTCTGTATCCTAAAATATTAAAAACATTTATCATAAATTATTGTAATGTTAAAATAAACACATGTAATTATGTGTCACAAAATACAGGTCTTACCTCTTAGCAGACGTTCCTAAAGCTTTTGACATCTTTGGATTTGGCTTAGCTTCTTTACTGTCTGGTTTATTGTCTGCCAAGGAGGAACCACGACCTCGTCCAGTTCCACTGGAACCTGCGCCTGACGACATGACTCTGTGACAAAATATGCACGTATTATTATTAATTACATGGAAACTTTTACAAATTATGAATTTAATGGAATATAAGTAACAAAAGGACACAAGCATTATAAAAGCAAAACTAATTTTGAAACACTTTAACGAAAGTACTAGAGCATAGTGGAAAACACATTGCATTTCTGTCTTCGTTTCGCTATTGTCATACAATGCATAAAACAAATTTATTCCGAAGGAAAGAAGAAACACTAACAGATCGATTTTGTTTGCGAAAAAACTAATGGCACACGTGAAAAACAAATAAAACAGAACAAACAGATCTTGTTGGAGTAAACTGAAATCACAATTTGGATAGAGCAGTTCAGGGTGTTGAAAAGGCGACGATATGAACTGACAATGCACCGTGAATCAAACGCTTCCGAAAACGGTCGTCTCTTTCGGTGCTTTCGGCAGGGAGGCGACAACAAAGAATCTCGGTTGACACAAAACACAGGATTTTCCATTCCTCGCCCTCAACCGTCCCCTCCCCTCCGTCGCGAGGAAAAACATAAACATCGCGCGTATTTGATCGTCACCGGATAAGTGTCCTGTCTTGGACTTGGGACTAAGGATATCTAGCGCGTCGTATTTTTAAACGCGACGGCGTCGCGTAGCGTTGTCTAGCCCGAAGTCCAAGGAGAAACGACGTGCGGACCGAGAGAGACGGTCCGCCGGGTAGATCGAGAAAGAAGGGAATAAGATTCGTTTAACGTCATCGCGCGTTTGTTGTCTCTGTTCGGGCGACTCAAGGGGGGTTCAACGCGCCCAAAATTGATTTCCCTTCACGGAGGAGCACGGACGAGCACGCGTTTTTCTCTCTCTCCCTCTCAGGCTTCTTCCTCTCTCTCTCTCTCTCTCTCTCTCTCACATCTCTCGCGCAGGCAAGACGCGAGACTCTGGCTCCGACAGCGTAACGCCGGGTATCACGGAACGACGTACATTCTCCGACGTGTCGTCTACATGGGATCTCCCTCTCCGTTCTCTATATAGATATCCGTGTCCCTTTTAGGACACACGCACAGTGCCACTTCTGGCCGTTTCCTAACCCTCTCCTTTTCCCCTCCGCGATACGCTCTCGAGCTGAAACGGCTGAGAAAAAGCGGTGCTGTGACGATGTACCTCGTGTCCGATGTGTCCACGCCGTGTTTGCTGTCGTCTCGCGGCAAGCCTAGCTTCGCCGGGTCGCCGACGGTAGGGAGCGAGGCAGGGAGGCGGGGAAGGACCGGTCCGCCACTTTTCAGATGCAAGATCCGCGAGACGGTTCCCTCGGCGCGGCGACGGTGTCGCCGGGATAATGGAGCCGCACGGATCGGGCCGATCGGGGGTGGGATGCACGCGGCGGCGGCGGCGGCGGTGGCGGCGGCGGTGGCTCCGGTTTCGTTATTGTCCTCCGAGTCAAGCGGGAGTACGCGGAGCGCGTGAATAACCCGCCCTATTAAGAGATCGTGCCGCTCTCGATACAACAGCAGCAGCAGCACTCGCAACGAGAAACGCGCAGCGCACGGCGTATCGGCGCGATTCTGTCGCGAGCGTCCAACGGATCGACGACGGCGATGATGATAACAATGATAATGACGGTCGTAGATACGCGTCAACACTAAGAAATAATCGTGGACAAGCGCACGGACGAGGCAACGGTTTCGAATCGCCCTCGCGGATTGTCCTGTCCCGGAAGCCCAGCGCTCCCTCAGGCCCTCGTCCTCGTATCACGACCATTCATCTCACTTTCATGTTCCGAAATCACGATCGCGGCGTCCTTCTCCCCTCGGCGAGCGCCGAAACGTGCGCATCTCTGCGTCGCCGGATGTTGACTCTGTCGCCGCGGCGGCGGACGGCGGACGCTGGCAAACCTCTGTCGACGCGTTTTCGCCGCTTCGCAGGCGCTGTGATCGGCGGCCCCGACGGAATCCGGACGACTGGAAAATTCTCTAGCGCACCGTGAGAGCGCGTAGTCGTCGACTACTTCTCTCGTCACCTTATCGCTATAATTGTTTTTGTTATCTATTTTTGACGACATGTAATTATGCGTTTTCAACGCTTAAGGAGACAATACTATAAGTCGCTTAATAAAATAATGATTCTCTCTCTTTCTCTTTCTCCCTCCCTCCTCGACATCGTTATTTTGTATAAATTTCAAATTAGTTTTTCGATCTATTTTTTTTATATTTCTACATTATATATAAAACTCTTTTGATCGCTTTTTTTGCCGAATATTAAACATACATATATCTTTCAGTTAAAGTTTCAAAAATACACAGCTGTGTATTACAAAACAGATATCTTTTGTATTATGCGGTGCGTATATATTATTCAATTCCGCACAACACTGAAGACATTTTTTTAAAAAGAAATTTATGTTTACTATTGTTATCGACATGAATGGCAAATTGGTAAAAGGTACTGAAACTTTGATTAACTTAATCAACGATTAATCCAATCATAAAATTATTGAAAATATTGAAAAGTATGTGACTACAGTCGTCGTCCTTAATTTCATCTTTCTTTCCATTAAACTATTATTATTCCGCTTTAATAAAATTTATAAAATAATGTAATATGTTGATATTTTAATAAATTAATCGACAATTTAATTAAGTTATCCCATATATTGTTCGAAGTCGCTATATCTCTAAGACATCATCTCAACACGTTATAATTACATGCAAATTCTTCTCTTTAGGAATTTATTTTTAAATCTCGTTATATACATCATTTTTCTAAGGGTAATTCATTTTTAATTTTAACAGGCATACATTTTCAAATATTTGCCTGTTAAGATTAAAATGAATCACCCTGTATAACAGAAAATTTCAAGAAACACTCTTAAAAATTATAAATCTAATTTTTCCAAATTTTGAATAAATATATTCGGATTAATAAAAAAAATCTATTTATCCTTTTCTTTCTATAAAAGAATCTGCATAAAAAACATTATATATATTAAAAAAATTAAAAATATCCTAAATAAATTAATATTATATATTTCCTACTCTGCAAATAAATTTTTTTACAGTTTTCACAAAAGCCAGTCTTTTATTTCGAATAACACCTTAATAATTTAAATAATGATATATCGAGTTAGATGAAACATTTAGATGAAACATCTTATCATCTCCAAACGAATATATGTTCTTTATTTCCAAGGTAAATATTGAAATGCTCTGTATATTTAATGATTTCCGAGTATCTCTGTTTGTATCTATAAGTTATCTGTCAACAATCGAAACCAAAAGAAGATACGCGCATCGATTCCGATGAATGAAGTGGCGCAAGTCTATAATTCTAATGGCTCATGTTTGTCCCTCGTAACTATGACTACAACTTGCTAAGTTAAGAGAGAAATATCGTGTCGGAGACATACGTTTCTATAGAAAATACTCGATCGGCAGTAGTGTGCGAATTCACAACGACGTTAGAAACGATCCTGGCAAAATGAATGATAAGGATGACAGCGCTTGGGTGTTCGACTCTCTGATTGGATTTTTGCAAGGTCCTATTTGGTCCTCGCCCCTTCTGACCTTCATCGAGGAAAAGTCCCTCGGTTTGTACTGCCATCGGAAATATTTTTCTTTTGATAAAAAAATCTCCTTAGTTGTTCGAGTAAGAGGGTCCTACACTACTATGAAAAATTGAATCCTGGAAAAATGAGTTATAGTTTTTACAAATAGTGTAACTTTTATTTTAATATGGACGAAAGAGATCATAGATATAAGGGTGCTTTTCCATTTGATGACTTAGTCAGCACAAATGTCTTTCTATCTTTGTTATTCTTAGAATAGCAAGAAGAAAAAAGATTGCTATCATGGATAGTCTTTGCTCTATGATGCTCTGTGTGAGTTTTATACCAGTTCAAAAATATCTTTTGTTTATTACATTATAAAATATTGTATAAAAAGAGAGCTTATATGTAAAAAAAACCATCTTGTTTCACCGAGAGCAAATTTTCTATATAATTAGTATGATAGCCTTTCTTGTATGTGTAGGAAGAAAGAATAAAGATCGAGAAATCTTATAGCGTAACGGAAGCATCATACATACATATTCGTGTATTAATACCTTTCAGAATGCGGTATTCGTATAATTTCTTCGCAACGGAAGTAGAAGCCTTCGTGGGACTGGAAGACTTTTCGCCGAGTGTTGTATAAGGCGCATTTATTTGTAAAATAACATAAATAAATCTTTTATAAAGTCTTTCCAATATATTGTAGTTTTCGAGGCTAACACCGAGGACTGCGAAGAGTATCGGAAAATATACCAGGAATACAAAAACTTGGTCGACTTGCTGCTCGGATGCTTTATGGAAGATATGGGTATCACACCGGAACAATTCGAACACGCATGCACCGTTAACAGAGATACAAAAATCCCGATACATTTTCAACAAGTATATGATCGTTACACATACACCTTCATAATGTCCAACGAAAAATTATTACGTTTTACTCGTGCTTTGTTTCTAACAATAAGATTAAAACCGACATTTGTGTATTTGCGATATTAAAAAAAAATTGACATAATAAACTTTAAATATATGATATTTAAAGATTATAATACGTAAAAATAAAATGATGACAGAGACGTTCATGCAAATCACATAATATCATTTGTCTATATTTTCCATCTACAATAATACCATTATTCTTTTTTTAAAAATTATATCATATTGTGTGTTTTGCAGAATCTATTCGAGCAAATATGGGCGGCGAATGAGTATGAAATATTCAAAAGAATGATGATACAAAAGAATTTGGAGCTCCAGCTGCAGGCGCTAAATATGATCGAACAAAAATACGGTCTCACACCTGCCTCCCTCGTGTACGAGACGGATGGCTTTCTTGACGACGAACTAGTCATGGAGGACCTGATACAGTACGTTATATCATAAATATATCAATTAATAAACTAGTCAACGTATCTACTGAAGACATACAAGAATTAGAGATGTTTATAAAAATTGGAACGGTTTTTGTGTTGGAGAAATCATATACAAATAACATCTTTCATATGCATACACAGTAAACGTGTTCTGGAAGATCAAAGCGAAGAAGAGCCAGGTATATCCTCGAAAACGACATTGATTGCTGAACATGAGCGTTTAGCTGCCGAATATCACAATGAAAGAGCGTTATTGGAAGAAGCATTACGAAGATCGAAAGATGGCTCTAAGAATACTTCGGATGACGAGTCAACGGAAGAAGTTGAGTGCGCTACCATTTCGGCTGAGGAAGAGTCGTTAGATAAACTTCAACTCAGAAAGAACGAGCCTCTCAAACCAATACCGACTTCAAAAAATAAATCTGATGAAGACGAGGTATTTATACTTTTGATTTATTTGCATTTATGCGATATGAATACACGAACGAATAATTTTTCAATTGGACAAATAAATATAACGAGTACGAGAGTTGTCTGAAAAGTTTCCGAAGATGGCAACATTCAACAAAAGTTGGGGAATGTTTGCGTATGCTTTGAAAGGTATTCATCAAAATTTTAGCCATTTTGAACGCGCAGTTGTTTGACAATCGTTTCAATGAGTTGATGTGAGAGTTTTTGTGAAAATGGAAAAAATCGAGTATCGAGCTGTCATTAAATATTTGTTTCTGAAAGGCAAATACGCCTACTGTTTTATAAAAACAGTAAAAATTTCATTTTTTTTAAAATGAGGTGCCAACTTCACAGAGGTGTTCGTTAGACATATACCCCTTTTTTTGCCTATAAACATCTTAAAACTGAATATTCAAAAGAGGTTTACAAAAGGGAAATATTCAAAAGGGTTAAATTGAAAGGAAAATAAAAGGACAAAAGGGAAAAGAAAGCAATTGGTGAAAGTAATAAAATAATGGCAGGAAACAAGGTTTATTAAGAAGGTTTAGGGAAAAATACGTTAAAACTTTCTATGCACTAAAACGTGACAACGGTTACGTTGGCGTAACACTACGCAAATTAAAGACGAGTTGGACGCTGCGTACGGGGACTCTGCACCATCATTTACCACCGTGAAATTTTGGACAACTGAATTTAAACGTGGCCGTACCAGCTATGGGTGACAATGAACGTTTAGCGACAGCCAAAAACTGCAACCACTGACGATAACGTCGCTCAAGTTCACCAAATAGTGCTAGCCGTCGAATTAAGGTCAGAGAGATAGCTATGAACATGTCCAAAGAACGTGTTTGTCACATATTGAATCAAGATTTAGGCATGAGAAAGCTAACCACATGTTGGGTGCCGCGTTTGCTCACTCCGGACCAAAAACGTGTTCGAATGAACATTTCCAACGCTCTGTTGGCGCAGTTTAGGCGCAATAAATCAGAGTTTTGACACCGATTAATTACTGTAGATGAAACTTGGATACACCATTATACTCCAGAAACAAAAACACAGGCTCCAAAAGAAGCAAAGACTGTTTCTTCGGCTGGGAAAGTGATGGCGACTGTTTTTTGGGATAGTCATGGAGTTGTCTTAATCGATTATCTTGAAAAAAGAAAAACCATTACAGGAGCATACTACGCATCATTATATTTGACAAGCTGAAGGCAGAAATTGCGGAAAAACGGCCACATTTGCAGAAAAAAAAATTTTGTTTCACCAAGACAATGCGTCGTCTCGCACTTTCAGCGGTTGCAATGGCGAAAATCTA